GGCGCTCATCAATAGTTTGTTCAGGCCTTTCCATGAACTTTTACGCTTTTTTTTGTGAGGGGGATCATACAGCTTGTTAACATTATTTCTGTGGTTAATTAACCAAGATTGACATTGTAAAAAGGAAATAAATAGCCTCCAGAGCAAGGAAGTCCCTTTCACCATAAGTAAGAAATTAGAGGGGTTAGGACCTCTATACCTTCTGGAAAGATGGTTACAACTCTCGGAGCAAGTCAAATACCTGGAGGTATTACTAGACTCCAAACTAACCTGGAACCCACAGATCAAATGCTCTCATGCCATTCCACGATGTAGTGGACGTCCAAAATGTTGGTAATGCCCATGATGACATAATGCATCTCTGGTTCTTCATGACGGTTTTATATATAAGTTCTATGAACTACAAATTTTGGCGCTGTAACAAGTTGCGGTCTTAAAATCAGTCGCGGGAAAAAAACCATCAGTGCGGCCGCTTCCATTATTCACAAAATCAGGCGGTTAAAATCCGCGGTGGTTTAGCCATAGTGCGGCCTAAGCTTTAACTGCGGTTTTGTTGGAAGTTGTTTATTTTAGAAAAGTGCGTATATAATTTCTGATTATTTTTATTATTACTTAGTAATCGGTGCTTTTTCGTCTACAACAGTGATATGGAAAGTTTAAAAAAGAAAACTTTCATAATATTAATGGGAGAAACGAGAAGATATTGTTCAGGTTTTAAATCGCTTGAGAAAATCTCTCTTATTTTTAAACAAGTTTGTCGTGAAAATAACAGATATGGCGCCCAAAATTTTAATGGTGAAACCATGGGTTTGTAGCTTTCAATTATTCAAACTTTTCCGCATGTCAAAGAAAACATTTATTGATTTGGCAGAAATTATAGGAAAAAGTTTATATTGAGAATAGAAACTAGATTGAAAGTGTCCACAATAACAGTAATAAGTATAACTAATAAGGTGCTAACATACAATAAGGTCAGCCTGTATCAAGTTTTCCGGGTTAAACGCTTCTTTCGTTAACCTTGGAACCCTAGAGATAGGAGGTGAAATTGCGTGAGTGATACATTATGAAGGCAATCCTGTCACCAAGGATGGTGTGGCCCTCGGAAAGATAGTAATAATAATAATGTTTATTCGTACAATTACAAAGTTTTCGTATAAATAATAACGACAGTGTCCAATAAACATAATATATCAGAAAAAGTGTACAATTCTACTTTAACCGAAGTTGAATTATATTAATACAACATTTCATTATCAAATGACATATAGGTTTTTAATGTCTACAAACTTATGGATTTGTAGACTTGGTTGATTTAGGATCCATAACTTTAATTCAATTTTTAACCATTTTTTACATTTTATATGTTTAAAGTTTGCAGGAATAACATAAAATTTTGAGCATAGAAAATATAATGATCTTTTTGGCTGATAGTTTTATTTAGTTTAGGAATTAGTGCAGATGTTTCCTTGAATCGCGTTTGATGACTGTGGCTGATAGATTGTAACAAATTTGAATTTTTTGTTAAATATATTATTGTATGATAAAAATAAATTTGCCAGCAGTCGAAAAGCTGAGACTCATTGTAAAGGTTTTCTGTGGGATAACATTTCTTTATGTTCAACATAACCTTCAAAATCCACTCCTCGCTAATTTTTATTTTTTTATAATAATTATTCATGACCCCCCCCCCCAAGCTAAGAGATTCCATAAGATAGTAATGTAATAGTAATAGCTCCTCCAGACTCACGGCAGGAACCCCCGAGTAAAAGGGTGTCTCGGGTGAGAAAAGAGAAGAGTATCACATTCGCTGAGTGTAGACACCTTCTCGCGCAAATTCAAGGCGAGCACTCTCGCTGAGACTTCTCGCTGTGAATCTGGAAGGGCTATAATAGTGGGCGTAGAACATTTGCGCACTGAAAAATGTCAACATAACCTGCTACAATCTTTATGAGAATTTCACTCACGTTTTGCCAAGCTTTGTAGGTTTATTACTTTGTGGGTTATTGATATTATCCAATATTTCTGCTTGCAACTCGCCCGAACTGGCAAAAATGGAGTTGTTTACAGCCATGATGTTAGCAACTGAGATGCACTAAGCGCAGAACCGGAAATTAATTTTCTGCAGAGGGTACCAACTCACTTCATCGTCGACATTTTTAGCTTCACCCTCACTCCATGAGCTTAACCTCCTGACTCTAGTCTTCATGCCTTAGTACCTCGAATAATTGCACTATACAATGAGAACCAACTTTGTCTGATGGCTGCAATTTAATGTGTATGAGAGATAAGTGTTTATATACACATATATTAGAAAGAGATAGAAGCCGCCTGCATTGCGAAACTCAGCAACGCTGATGTGGCAATCTGCCGCGTTGCCAATATGTTACACCAGTCCCTTGAATTAAGATGCATATTGGAAATATGTGTTAGTTTAATCGTTACGCCCAAATAATGGTTTTATTTTGAGCGTACACATTTTTGAATTGTGAATTGAGTCGAATCTGTTTAGTATATGTAGATTCCTGATCGGTCCTAACGGCGCTCCATTTTAGGTCGAAATGAAACGTCAGGATCGCCACAAATTCTGCAACATTGCATCATTGGTTCGTTTGATAACATCGCATCTTGTACATTCCAAGTCAAGGTTTCCACCTCCATGATCATAGTTGAGCGATTTTGGTCAGAGCCGCAGTGCAGTCGGAAAATATAACAATAACTCAGGATGTGTGATTTTATCACAATCTGTGGAAATAAAAGAAAACTCTATAAATAGGTTAACACTGTCGGATCAAAATTGAAATAAATAATTCTACTCAAAATGAAAACAAACTGTCAAATGAAATGCTGGAACAGGCCTCCGTTTTGGGTTTGACAGTAACCTAACCTATTGTAACAGCCTGTGCGATCATTTTCTGGTGTAGCATATTGGTAACGCGGTAGATTGCAGGATCGTCACCGTTGATAGGAAATGTGGTGATGACCTTCGCTCTGCAGCTGGCTTCTATCTCTTTCTAACATGTGTTGATACTTCTCGCGCTTCTCTCTCGTACATACTGAACTCAAGCCGTCACGACAAATTTGGTTTTCCCTGAATATTGAGCGGTAATTTCAAACTTCATTTTTAGGTTGTTCAACGTTTGTTCCCGTCGGGTGTTGTCTACAGGGCGGATATAAAATAGGGTGTATTAACACTTTGCGATAAGATTTATCTGTTTACAATAAAATCGTTTACTTTATACTATAGAGATGATGAATTAGTATCATTGAATATAAAATGAGACTTCAAATGTCAAAATATAGTTTGTTATAAACGGCAACATTAGCTTTATGATGCCCACCTAATAAAAGGCATTCGACCTATAACTTCACATTAAGCAACTTGAAAAGTGACATTATGTCGATATGTATGTAGCAGGCGCGGAATGAACTATTTGCACACTACCAGCTATCTAGTCAACACGTTGACGCGTTTTATCCCTGCGGCAGGGCTATTACGTAAAAACCTATATAATGTAAAAAACGATAAAATGTTGATAAACATGTAGACTAAGTAGACTCTTGTGCAAATAGTTAAAAAAACGACACAATTGTCACTTTTCAAGTTACGCAATACCTCTGCCAATCCCCAAATTGATATTCTAATACACGGTAAACATTAACTATACTTAAGTAGGTGTGTTACACAGAGAGCTGAGCTAGTATGTTGGCTACCATTTCATTGCTGATAAAAATCCTAAGTCATAGGCAACCAGTTATTATCGACTTAACGTCAAAATATCATTAGGCTACTTGCACACACACCGATTTTGGACGGCCGGTAAAATATCGGCCGACCACATTTTAACCCAGTAGCTCCCAGCGTATGATTCATCATACGTAAAACACGTGGCCATTTGAGGTTATGTTATATCTTGCGTTAGCGGCATAGCGAGCGGTTATGCAAATGTTTGAGTGTAGATAGGTCTAATATTGATAATACAACATTGCAATTCAGTTCTATTATGACTCATATGGCTTAGTGATCTGTTCTAAGAACGAGAGGTTCACATTCACCATCGGAATGAGTACCAGGTAAGTTAATCATTATTTCCATGAAATCAGTTATTTTATTTGTTGTTTACTTTGTCCGTTTCTGTGCCTTGGGGATTGCTCCAAGTATTTCCATTTTCGACAAATGTTCAAATTTTAATTTACCATTGATTCGAGACTTTTTGTGTCACGTATGATATATCATACGCTGGTCCACAGTAGGTATTATTATTATTATTATTATTTGATATTCACTATATTTTACAGGAAAACTTTGTATAATCCAGAGAATCCAAAGGACTTGGAGGAGCTGATGAACTACTTCCACAGCCTGGACTCAGACGATGAAGCTCATGAGCAGTTTCAAAGTACAGAGAGCTTAGAAGTCGCGTTAGTTCCTCCCGACGATGCCATGGACAGCGACCAAGATGATGCTCACAGTGATGACGATATGGTACCTAGTATCAGAGATCTGGGAAAGGGTATTCTCTCTCAGAAAGTAGATGTTTTTGCTGTTAACAAGAATAAAGAGAAATCTCCAATCAAAACTGGAATTCAGTCTCCTCTACAAATCCGACCAAGTGACCAGAACTGGGAAGAGAGTGATGATGAAACCCTGGCTGATAAGCAGAAAAGACTGAAAATTCAAATTCCTTCTGTCAGAAAAAGTACACAAAAAGTCAATAGAGCATGGAAAGAAATAACCCTTGAACCACGAGACCAGCGAATTGAGTTACTAAAGGAATTCTTACCGATATATTAGAGAGGAATATGGCGCCGATCGATTTGTTCAAAGTTTTTTTTAGTGAAGATATAATCACCACAATGTGTATAGAAACAAAAAGATATGCCCCAAGAAGGGATTTCATGGTTTCTCAGTCACAGCTGAAGATATCTATAAATATCAAGCTATAATTCTCTTGTCTGGGTATAGTCCAGTACCTTCCAAACGCTGCTACTGGGAAACACGAATGGATACCAATAACCCTCTAGTTACAAACGCGTTGTCAAGAAACAAGTTTGAAACTATCCACATATTTTTTCACTTGAATGATAACAGTAAAATTGATAAGAATGATAAAATTTATAAGATTAGACCCTTGATCGACCACCTAAATAAAATATCACAGGAATGTATTTCTCCATTAGGAAAATACGTATCTGTAGATGAGGCAATGGAGCCTTATTATGGGAGACATCATATGAAGCAATTCATTAGAGGAAAGCCCATACGCTTTGGCTTCAAATTCTGGTGTTTATGTACCTATGATGGATATCTCGTCAAATTTAATGTTTATACCGGTGCAGGAGACAAAATAGAAGGCAAATCACTTGGCTCAAGTGTAACTGAGAAACTGTGCCTAAATTTTTTAGGACAAAATTGTACCATTTTCCTAGATAACTATTTTACGTCTATTCCTCTATTAGAAACCCTAACAGCTAATAAACTATACTGTGTGGGTACGGTAAGATCAGATCGAGTAGAGAAAGCTCCTCTCAAAGATTTAAAAAAGGAGAATAGGGGTAGTACTCAACATCCAACATAACATTGACACGTTGGCATGACAATAGTCAAGTTACTGTTATATCAAATGTACAAGACAACACCCTTTACCAGACGAAAGGCTCGTGTAAACGATGGTCGATGAAGGACAAATCTGCTATCCAAGTTGATCAACCGTCTCTAGTACATTTATATAATAAAGGAATGGGAGGTGTCGATCGATTCGACCAAATGAGAGGCTTGTATAGATCTAGGATTAGGTCTAAAACATGGTACTGGCCGTTGATTCGCTTTTGCCTGGACGGATCTATTGTCAATATGTGGTATTTATATCGTCAGGCACTTCTATCAAGGAATGAATCTATATCACTCCTTGAATTTCGTAGAAGAGTAGTCCTAGCGCTTTTAGCTGCGCCACCTTCAAACTCAAATACTGGTCCAAAACCAAAACTATCCTGTAAGGTTCTATCAGAAGTTCGATACGATGGAAAAGAGCACTGGATTGACCGACAGGAGACGCAGCGTCGTTGTGGAAAATGTGGAAAATGTACAACATTTTCCTGTGTAAAATGCAATACAGGTCTACATCCAGATAAATGTTTCCGACAATATCACCAGAAGTAATCTTTAGGCTTTTTATGGATGTATTATTCTATAATTGTTTCTTTGATTATAAATTAGATATACCATTGTTTTTGACTTTTTTTCATCCTACTGTAGCCCAGCGTATGATTTATCATACATCAAAAAAAAAAACTACTTCAAAACCATAATTTTTATAAAATCATAATTTTATATGAAAATGTTACCAAATAATGATAACATATCAAAAGATTAAGTGAAATGCCAGAAAAAAATAATTCTGGGCATTAATGGGTTAATAGTAAACCATTGGAGGGCATTGAAGCTTGCACACTGGCCGACCACCGACCGGCACCGGAAAAAAGCCGGACATTGTCACTGTGATGCGCCGGTACCGGGAATATAGAAGCATACGTTTTTGTATAGGAGCTTGCACACTCACCTTTTATTTAATGGCCGTGATGACGACTGCATATACGTTTACAATGCATAAAGAGTAAAACCAATGTCGATCATTTACGACACCTTTAAAAATTAAACTTCTCACAGGGACCAGTGTCGGCTAAATCCGCTCAGCACTGCATTTCCCCACAGACCAATGGCTTGAGAATGCGACACTGTCGAACATGGGCGACGGTGGACGCTCGGGGGAGTTCGGCGTCGAACACGTGGAGCATGCAAATCTACTTATTATGACTGGTTTGAAACAGTTTCGTGTTATTATTGGGACATTGTAGACATAGTTAGTTTGTGTTTGACTCTTGTGTTGTTCCGTTCATTGTGCGAGATGGATAACGCTGAACCCAGTACATCTGACGGTCGAAAAGGACGAAATAAGCGTAAAAGAGATAATGCAGGTGCGGGCTATTGTGGGCTGACCCCGGAGGAAGTCCGAAATCTTTCACAATATCTTATGAGCTCCGATGAGGATGAGCCCGAAGATCCCTTTGCTGACAGTGGAAGCGAGTTTATTCCCAGCTCGGAAGGTGAATCTTCAGAGGACGACTACTTGCAAGTGTCTGAAGGTGAAGACAACAAGCATGATTCATCTCAAACGCCGGTCTTGGAACCTGAGACAGCAATGGACGAGAGAATGGATATTATTAGAGAACGTACGAGGTTAGAAATAAAATGGACGGACAAAGAGTTTATTCCGCAAGTTTTTGCATTTGATAGTACTAATAGCGGATTAAGAAATGTTAGTTTAAATGATCAAAGCAGTGAAGTAGATTTCTTTTTAAGTCTTTTATCTGAAAATATTATGAACGTCATTGCCATCGAAACAAATAGGTATGCCATTCAAAGAGATGCACCTAAGTGGAAAAGCGTTGACATTCCAGAACTTTACGTATTTTTCGCTGTAACTCTGCTTATGACACGTGTAAAGAAACTGAATAACAAAGAGTACTGGACCCAAGATATCTTACTCAGCACTCCCGTTTTTGGACAGACTATGTCAAGAAACAGATATTGCGAGATACATCGCTATCCTCATTTCGCTAATAATGAGGAGGTAAAGCCTCACAATCGATTGGGGAAATTTGGAAATATTTTGACCGTTCTAAAAGAGAATTTCAAATCCCAGTTTTATCCTTTCGAACATTTGGTTATTGACGAAAGTATGGTCCTTTTCAAAGGTCGCCTCAGTTTTCGTCAATACATCAAAACAAAAAGACATAGGTTCGGAAACAAACTGTATGTCTTGTGTGATTGTGAGACTGGCATCGTCTTGGATTTTATAGTGTACGTAGGCAAAGGCACACAAGAAGATACTCGTGGATTGGGTGCTACAGGTGAAATTGTCAGTAATCTATTACAACCATACATGCACAAGGGTCATTCTCTTTTTACTGACAACTTTTATACCAGTCCAACTTTGTCAACATTTCTATTTGAAAATAAAACCAATTCATGTGGGACCGTGAAACAAAATAGGAAAGAAATGCCAATTTTAGACAAAAAACTTAAGAGGGGTGAATGTGATTGGAGAAGCAGTGAAAACATGTTGGTGGTTAAATGGAAAGATCGGCGAGATGTCACTATGCTGACTACACTACATGAGAATAAAATGGTCAGTCTTCCAAGGAAGGATAGGGTCACAAATGAAAACCTTCAGAAACCATTATGTGTCTTGGAATATAACAAGCAAATGGGAGCTGTAGACCGAAGTGATATGATGATCAGCAGCATTGATTCAACGCGCAAAAGCATGAAATGGTATAAAAAACTATTTTTTCATACCATGGATATATGCTTATTGAATGCTCATGCCATGTATTTGACACAGAATCCAGCAAAAGTTCCACTGGCCACATTTCAACTTGCAGTGATTAGGCAGTTGTTGGAAAGGTACCTATATATATATATATATATATATATATATATATATATATATATATATATACAGGGTGACTTCGAAGTTGAGTCATTTATTTTAACAGTGAGTAGATCTGATCAAAAGAAATGTTTTTTTCCTTTACCATTTTTCTGCTAAAATTAAAGTAACAAAGTTATAGCCCTTTAGAAGTTTGAGTACCGCCCTGTCTCAATAATATTATGTGCTGGTGTTTGGCAACAACGGATATAATCCGCCTCGGTTCATCGCATCGGAAACAAAAAAGCGAAAGAATTTGAAACGTTTATCACGATGTTTTTCGTCAGTCGATAAGGTGTGAGTGAATAGTAGTGTTTGTTGCGTGGCTCAAACGAAATAAAAAATGGCACATGTTTACGAAAATGCTGAACTTGTGGACATGATTCTTATTTACGGGAGGGGGAGTCTTTACAAAATGCTGCCGCGGCATCACAGATTTGTGCGAATCGGTTTCCCAATCGAGTGCAACCAACCCCTCGTGCCTTTGTTAATGTAGTACAAAGGGCTCGTGAATCAGGTGACTTAAGACCTCACAGGCATGCCGGTGCTCCAAGACCGCACGATCAAATACAGGTCCGCACTGAAATACTTGTGGGAGGATACTTTATAAAACAAGGTAACATTTTTTTTTTATTTTTACACACATATTTTGGTTTATCTCCCTTCTACAATCATTATCTGAAAATTAATGACTCAACTTCAAAGTCACCCTGTATATATATATATATGTATATATATATATATATATAAAGAGAATATGATCATGCGGAGAAAGGTATATAACAACAAGTGGGAAAATAATGGGCAAAATCCGCAAAAAGGAGGAAAGTGGATTCGAGCAGAAAATAGGATAGGTAACCCGAGCGATACGTATTTCTGCTGGTTGGCTTCATCAGGCCCGAAATGAATGCACATATGAAACTACAAAAGTAGATACACATGCCCACACATCCGGATACGGGTGTAACCTGAGGAAACGAAGTTGGAGGGAAAAAAAAACGACACACGAAGTCCACAACAAGAGCCAACCTACACATTGTAGTGTAAAATGGCTATACGACCTCGAATTTTCAAGGAGACGTCTAACCACCACCACGCGGCCGGTTATAGCCACCTGCTGTGGTACTTCAAGCCCAAAGGATCTACAAAGAGAATATGATCATGCGGAGAAAGGTATATAACAACAAGTGGGAAAATAATGGGCAAAATCCGCAAAAAGGAGGAAAGTGGATTCGAGCAGAAAATAGGATAGGTAACCCGAGCGATACGTATTTCTGCTGGTTGGCTTCATCAGGCCCGAAATGAATGCACATATGAAACTACAAAAGTAGATACACATGCCCACACATCCGGATACGGGTGTAACCTGAGGAAACGAAGTTGGAGGGAAAAAAAAACGACACACGAAGTCCACAACAAGAGCCAACCTACACATTGTAGTGTAAAATGGCTATACGACCTCGAATTTTCAAGGAGACGTCTAACTATAACCGGCCGCGTGGTGGTGGTTAGACGTCTCCTTGAAAATTCGAGGTCGTATAGCCATTTTACACTACAATGTGTAGGTTGGCTCTTGTTGTGGACTTCGTGTGTCGTTTTTTTTTCCCTCCAACTTCGTTTCCTCAGGTTACACCCGTATCCGGATGTGTGGACATGTGTATCTACTTTTGTAGTTTCATATGTGCATTCATTTCGGGCCTGATGAAGCCAACCAGCAGAAATACGTATCGCTCGGGTTACCTATCCTATTTTCTGCTCGAATCCACTTTCCTCCTTTTTGCGGCTTTTGCCCATTATTTTCCCAGTTGTTGTTATATACCTTTCTCCGCATGATCATATTCTCTTTGTAGATCCTTTGGGCTTGAAGTACCACAGCAGGTGGCTATAACCGGCCGCGTGGTGGTGGTTAGACGTCTCCTTGAAAATTCGAGGTCGTATAGCCATTTTACACTACAATGTGTAGGTTGGCTCTTGTTGTGGACTTCGTGTGTCGTTTTTTTTTTCCTCCAACTTCGTTTCCTCAGGTTACACCCGTATCCGGATGTGTGGGCATGTGTATCTACTTTTGTAGTTTCATATGTGCATTCATTTCGGGCCTGATGAAGCCAACCAGCAGACATACGTATCGCTCGGGTTACCTATCCTATTTTCTGCTCGAATCCACTTTCCTACTTTTTGCGGATTTTGCCCATTATTTTCCCACTTGTTGTTATATATATATATATATATATATATATATATATATATATATATATATTTCTTTTTGTCTAAAAATAGTTCTATATTTCGATTTTTGCAGGTTTCAAAAAACAGCTTCGAGATCTGTTCACCTGGATCTTGGAAATAAAAGACTCACACAAAGACATTTTCCCGATCTGGTTACAGTCAAGGAAGGCAGCAAATCGGCCTACAGGAGATGCTATGTATGTTCCCACAGCAAACAAAAACCTAAGAAAAGAAAAGAAACCAAATATATGTGTAAGGAATGCGATGTTGGGTTGTGTCCAGCTCCATGCTTCAAAATATGTCATGAAGAAAATCACTTCTGAAGTAAAATGTCTTTCGAGTTTTTTTGATACGATGTGCTCTTATTTTTGTTTTTTTGTCTTTAGGTATTAGTTCTAGGGCTTCAATTTTAGTTTTGATTGACCTTCTTTAGTTCTATTTACTGCTGTTTGTGTTTCTAAGTATGCTTTAATAGAATAAAAAAAGAATTATACTGTTTTATGATTTCGTCGGATATAGCCGTCACCGGGTCATATGACCATCCAAAAATTCTGGTCCAGCAGGCATGTTTTTTCGTGGACGCGTCGGTCCTGAAAGGGTTAAATGCACCCTTGTCAATCCGGAAGACCAGTAGGCGGCAAAAGGTTAAGCCACTGCAGTAGTTGAAAGATTAACTCGTTTCCTTCAAGATAAATGTCTTAGTTGTAGTATTGCCTTTAGAAAAATTTGCAAATATTTGCAGAACACAATATCTTACGTGCAGTTATTACCATATTTTTCTAGAAATACTATATGTTTGAACTTGGATACCGGAGCATTCTTAACAAAATGCTATGTAAAACAGTTGTTGGTTAACGAGTATGTACAAAAATCAATATTCAAAATATACTTAAAAACCTAATTAATTAAAATACAAAAGTCTCCAACAATTATCATTCATTTTGTGCTTCATATGTCAATGCTCTAGCCAGGTTTCTAGCAGCAGAAAGCTTCAAAATGTTGAGCTTATCCTTTAGTTCAGGAAGATCTTCTTTTTGTTCGGCACAGTGCATTATCGTGAAGGTATCATTTGACGAAAACAGTAACTCTTCACTTTCCAGCAATGGTATGGCATCTATCAGTAAGACATACCAGAAACTGCAAAAAATGATAGTTTTGTCATGTTTTCATCGTTTAACATTCACGTAGGGAAAGTTCATCAATTTCATCAATTATTATTACACTCCTTTTGCGACAGTCGGTAAAACGAATATTTTGGAAGAAAACATGGTTACAAATGTAGTAGTTTGGAACCTGGTAAAAAAAATAATATTTAAGGAAATATTAGAAATAACACTAAATTTACTGAGCGCGGACCAGTATTTTAACAAAAAATGAAAATCTCTAAAACGAAAATTCCACCATAAGGTCATGACGTGACCTAAATATATATATATATATATATTATATGCAGCTAGATAATCCTTCACTTTCTAGACACCCTGTATATTATATTATCATAAGTCTTTTTACCAACTCAGTGGTGGAATACAAGATTAAAATATTAATAAAAAGAAAAGTTAAGCACTCACTATTTTGGTATTATTTTTGATGCTAGAAGTGAGATAAGCAGATTAGCAGCCTCCTTATATTTCTGCGTCTGATACAATTTATGGAATTCGAAGTATTTTCCAAGAAAGATCAATCTGTCACTAACTAGCATACAAGATCCCAAATTATCCAGCAGGTCTGTGCTGCCTAGCTTGCCATTCTTAATGTAGTCTTGTAAAAATTTATCCGCCAAGTATGAAGTGAATGGACCATCTTGAGATTTCAAGGCCCAGCATAATGCGTTCCCTATCCTTCCTCTCTTCAGTGAAAGCATGCCTTGAGCTTTACATATACACTGAACTGAAATGAATAAGGTACATTATAGGAATCAAAATCAACATTCAATATCTTGACATTACCATGTTTAGTGCAGCAATGTTCGTAAACACGTCAAGTCTATACACCAGGAGAACCGGCAAAATGGGCAAAAAGCGACCCCAAAACTTCACACCTAACTGAGGGCGCAGTGATCAAAGCGAGTTCCAGCAACTGCGCATGCGCAGTGTATCTGAGCTTATAGTACGAGATCCAGCTGCTTGGATCTACAGGTATATGTATCAATTTTTGTGGATGATAAATAATAGTAGAACAGATTACAGCAGGGTTACCCTTGCCGTCAACTCTGCTCTATTATTCATCACTCTATCACTCATAAAAATCAACAAACAGACACCTGCAGATGCACACGGCCGGATCTGAGACTATTAGGAAAGTGTTCATAATGCGGATCTGTCAATGCACAGCGTTACCAAATGGGTCTAACAGAATTTCTCCAGAACGAGCATAAAAATCCCTCAGAATTACTACTTTTACAGTTAATTAATGGAAAGGGGTACGTTTGGTTCAAAAAAACCCCAAAAAAATATCGAATTAAAAATCCCTCAAATTTGAGGTAAAATCCCCCAACATGGCAACCTTGCCAAAGCACCACTGGTACTCCAGGCGGTAAGTTCCAGGGTGGTTTTTACAGCACGCACAACGTTGGCGTTGTTTACCCCTGAGCCGCTTTCCAGTGCTTTTGAATTGAAAGTTGTATTTACCCGGAGTGTGACGCTCCCGAACTGCTCAAGCAAATGTGCACGGGAACGCGACGATAAAAACCTGATGTTTTGCTTTGACATTGACAATTTGTATCACACTGCCAACTAATGAAAATGTAAACACATTTTGCCTTTATTTTCAGAAGCATTGTCAGACTATCCAATTGATGCTTGATGATGCTTTTAGTTCATACTGGCGCAACCCGTCAGAGGTCTGCATTTTTATTGTAAAGCTTCTGGGTAAATGTGTCGAATTCATATTCAAAATTATTTTCAAAGTATCTAGTTATAGATGAAGCCAACTTCAAACCGCTATGAACTTACCTTCTTGCGCTCGTTGTGACTTTGGGTTATAAAGCCATGTACAGATATGTAACAACACCGCGAACCGAGCCACTGACCGAACGGCAGCGCACGCATTTTGACGAAGAACATTGCAACGAACATCACAACAAACCGAACGACGTCGTGCAACCACAGCGCGCAACAAACAATTTTGATCTTTGTCGTTCAGTGAAAGACGAATACTAGCGGAAATGGATGTAGAAGTAGCAGCAGCTGCCTATATTTAAATTCACTACGAATAGATCAGCACACGGTTGCAACAAATTGAAATTTTAACAAGTGGACAGTACAACGAGGATGTCTCCGACGCACTTTGAATATCTTCTCACGTTGATTGTACCAAAAATACGAAGACAACATACAAAATGTACCAGAAAGACTTGCAGTCACGGTGCGATTTTTAGCTACCGGTGATTTATACAGTAGTTTCCAATGCATGTTTCGAATTTCACAGCAACCGATCAACTACAGCATTCCGGAAGTGTGTGGGGCATTGAGATCGAAGTTTTAAAGGAAAATATACAAGTGAGAAAAATAATTATTTTACTTCTATGTACATAACAAAAAAACACACTGGTGCCCGCCGCACCGGTATGCCTGTCCAAACATGTGCAACTTCCACGTCAGCCATTCCTTTGATGTTGCGCTGAAAAACCGACAGTCTGGATCGGGCCGAACAGCGAGCTGTAAAGCTAATCAGGTTCGCGATGGCGTTCTTTTCACCGTCTATACTAGCGCGGCGCGGTTCGTCGCGTGGTCCGGTTCGTGGTGTTGTTACATATCTGTACATTGCTTTACATTATCAGTATTTTACCATCCTCCATTGTCTGGTATCGGTTTAATGAAAAAAAAAACGATGAAAATACATAACCCAAAAATCTTGACACATTGTCATTTTCACCACTATTTTGGATTTTAAAAATGAGTAGCTCAGGTGCACTCTAGAGCAGTGGAACGGTAATGACAGGTGGTGGGCATCATCGAGTTATTCCGAGTAACACAAATGAGGCGCTGGAAAGCGGCTCTGATATAGACTCCATAGCTACCTCGCCAGTTTATGCGACACTTTGTCAGAAACACGTTTGAGAAGAATAAGGTTTGATACCAGAAAAATATCAGATTAGGTTGAAGACCACAACGGCAAGGCATAATAGTGACGTCAACATATTCAAATGATTTTTCGCCGCGAGAACTGACTATGCTTCAACAATTCACTTCACTCGAAAAATGTTGGGGTGCAAACTAGCAAAGTAGTGCTATAAGCTTTTGGTAAAAGAACTGTTCAGCCGTAAAAGCTCTCTATTGTTGTTGCCTGAACACCAAAACGCTGGCTTAATGTTGTGTGGAATGCAAATTTGCTTCCTGTAGGATATTTTCTCTAAAATGAGGTGTTTAAAGTATTCTTATAGCATAGTTATACAACACCTTATAGCACAAATTTTGAACTGTTGCATAAACGTTTATACAACGATTTTATACGGCATATTTGCGCGGTAGTCAAAATAGTTGTGTTGTGGCATCCATGGTAACGTTTATACAACAAACCCGAGACTTGTTGATTTGATCTGCACATTTAGCCAACAAAGTTGCTCCCAACGGAAGCCACTTATACAACTGTCGTTTAGTAACTGTTAAAGGCTGTAGATCTGCAACAATATTACAACCTTTATAGTACAAAATTGCTGTGCCCGGCATACATTTGTTGCTAAATATGTTGGTATACAACTTCACCATAACCTAACTTTCTGCTGTCATATTGGTCTTATTGGTTTAAAAGGTTTTATCAACTGTTCAAACAGAAGATATAGATCTGGTACAAATTCTGGGTAAATCATTCGACTCTGTCCGTATTTCATTTCAGAGATTTGTCAAATTGTTGTATAACACTTGCAGACACCAGACAACACCAAAATATTCTAATCAACCAAAGGCAACATGGGCGATGCCATGATTATACATAACCAGCTGCCATATTTGGCAAAAATATATTACTCTATTGAAAATTAATTAACTATGTTTCAGTACGACATTTCAGATATAAAGTGATAAACATTAGTGCAATTGTGTCTATATATTTTTCATCTTAATAATCTAAACATACTTTTGATCATTATTAAAATATGAATCAAATACGAAGCCCGTACAAATTGCGTAACTACTTGCACGATAATCACAATAAAATTTGCTGAGCAAGTAATTCAATAGCCCTATATCACAGTGTAGAAGTTTATCATATACCTGTGTATGAAATTCACAATGGCCGATATGTAAGTAAACAAGATGACTGTAATGTGTTAGTTATATATGCTTCACTTCACCTATACAATATATAAGAAATAGTTTGGTAGCAATAAAGTAGAATCATGTCAGATAATAGTTGTATAGTTGAAAAAACTGAATCTTGCACTGACGCAAATGTTCTATAGCGGCTGCAAGAGGATTACACTTTTGTTGTATAACTGTCACCTGCAGCCCTTATACAACCTCTTAAATGACTGAAGTGTCCTATTAGGTGTGCCCATTCCGCTTGTATAGCTGTTCTAAGAGCGTTTTGCCAATGTTCTTACAGCATACAATGCTGTGTAAGGAAGAATGTATAATTGTTCTTGCAATTCTAATAGGAGTGATAATTGTTAGTTGGGTGGCATTTGAACAAAGGACAAATGCTACCATTCGCTTAAATAGTTATTGAATTAAGAAATATCCTACCAACATCATTCAGGTCCCTCTTTTTAGCTTCCCTGATGATTTTTAGAGTTTTAGCTTCATTGTCTAATGGTATTCTTGGTAACAATAAGGCAATTACTTGATTTCCATCATGAGTACAGTGGTCCAAGTAGCTTAATCCAACCGGCCACAAAGATTTGTGTCCCATCAGTGTTATTCCATACTCCAAAATAAAGGATTCTCTAAGTTTTTCTGCCGAGCTGAAATACAAAAACATCAAAACATAAAGGGGCGTGTAAAAAATTCAGCATTTGTAATTTCGCCAGAAAAAAACTTTCAGAAAAATTCTAGCAGTGTAGTTTCTTCAACATGAACATAGTAATATTCTTACACAATCTGGAATGGAACACTACTTCTGAGGAATATTGAAGTAAAGTAATAAGTAATAATACTTATCAACGCATTTCTAATGTACCATACACTTTTGATTTGTCCATCAATCCAAATAGTGTAAGCGTTTGACACAATCATGTTACGAACTGGTCTTATTTTAAAACCATTTACACGTTGTGTAAAGTTTCCGACTTACAAGTTGGGTACTTCTTTTTCTAAGCTGGTGAGCCGGCTTGAATGGAAGAGAAGGTCACTTAAATGTGCCACAAACCAACCATTTTCAGTCATATGCTGGATTTCCTTGATCACCTGCAAAATATTGTATTTGATCAGATCATTCCACCACCGATGATGCAGACATACCAGAATAGGATGGCAATATGTCGAGTGTATAGAGAATACAAAAAATATTACAGTCTCAGGTAGGGCAACATGCAAAGTGCCATCTTTTACCAGAATAACCACTCTGCAAGAGAGAAAACAACAAGTGGTATGTTGGAACTTATCCCAGTTCGCATTGCCAACCGACAGTGGTATTACGTATCGGTTTTTATTTTGACATTATATTTGTTTAGGTTTTTTATGACATTATGTAGGTATAAGCAGTACGTTGTATACTATAGCTGGAAGGAAACGGCAGTGTATAGGTGCATAGTGAGGTTTGAGAGATCATTATCTGTGTTAATGATAATTCCATTGGTTTCTTGTCTCAAATACTTTAGATGTACGAGTACGCAAAGCTAAACATTAGTTGCGCTTCTGCCTTTTCTTATTCAACCTCGAAATTACATATACAAATTTGCTGTATTTCAAAAAAGATAGTGGTAAGAAAAAAATCCCTGATTGGTGAGGTATATTAAAACTAACAGGCGAGAAAATACGGTACATAGAAGAATATTTATGAAACTTAAAAAAGTTATTACTCATGAACTCTTATTTTCAGTCATTTAAATTTTATAGATGTTGTCAAGTAGAAAATACAAATTAGCGCCTAGATGTGAGGCAGTGCGAAAATGTTTTGTATGTTATGCGTAATGTCCAAGTAATTCCTAATTTTTCGGTGATGTGGTTTAATTACACACAACGCGGGTGTGGTGCTGACTTCCCTGATACTTCGCAAAATTTCTGAAAACGCAAAAAGGGGAAAATCCTCTCTTCAGAAGGGACAACACAAGTAACCCGTTTGGCACAGCTAATAGATATATTTCATGAAAAGCTTATTCAGTAATAATTTTCTCACATAGCAAATATCACTGATTTTATACACATGCAGATCAATACACATTTATGTATTTATACTTGAATATCTTTTTAAATTTTGGAAATAATAACGTACTTATAGAGATATATCTGACAAGCCTTATATCATACCTATGTTCTGAAGACAATAAACAAAACAAACAAAAAAATACGCACAATCATGCAGATGTGATCTTGCTACTCTACCACTCAACCACACATCTCAGAATATACTCTTACAGACTATCTCGGCATTCTGCAATTATCAAAGCATGTTGAGGAACTAACTAACTTGCAGCTTGGTCATTGAGCGCGAGATGTGTCGATGAGTCATTAATCCATAGATGGACACTTTTGATGACGCTCATACCGAGCAAACGCGGAATGTACTATTTGCACACTATGAACTATCTAGGCAGCAAGTTGACATTTTATTTTTTTGCGTTTTATAGTTTTTTACTTAATAACCCTGCGGGTCACCACTGTAACCGTATCTACTATACCACCAGAATCTGCGGCTTCTAGCGGCCACAGAGATGACCCGGCTGACAATGTTAACTGGGATACAGTTCCAACAGACAGCTTGCTGTTTTAACTCCCGCAGAGTTGTAGAATTTTGTAATAGATTAGGCTTGTGTGCCAGGCCACCCTGTATGTATATAGTTTCTTTCCAAATATCAAAATGAGTATGTCCGGTACGCAATGGTTTGACAGCACGAATATTGTCGTGGTGCCGAGGTCGCGCGATGTGGCCAGAAGTTTTGAGCAAGTGTGTGCGACGGAGAGGGAGGGAGAAGGAAATTCAGCTTTGGAAAAGAAGCACGACGGATGGTCAAGCAACGCCGAATGCACGCATCGCAAAGTGAGGCGACGCAACTGCGATTTCAGCTAAAGTTACTTTGCGTTAGCAAGACCGAGTCACAGGCGCCGTAGGCAGCTACATAGATTCCACGAGAGGAAAGCTGCAGGGTCAGCAGCTCGTCGGAGACAACCTCACGAAGTATACCAGTCAACTTTGGGAAGTTGCAGGCGGTTAGGACTTTGAATGAGCAGTTAAGTGTTAGGAATGTTCGCGGTCTAGGGAATTAGGATTTCTTTAAGCCTTCTGGGCCCTACGTGGTCTGAGAAGATTTAGTTGTGGTTTTTGTTTTAGGCTTAATAAAGTTTTGTATTACCCTTTGACAGCCACGAAGTTATTTTTTCTGCGAGAACCCCACCCCGATTTATGGAAAATCGCTCACTGCTGTCTTATTACAAAAAATAATGTTACTAGTTTTTATAATAGTACATTATATACCTTGGTGGAAAATTAGGCCAATGTTACTCGAGCACTTTTGAATCGTGAGGCGCATAACACCGAGAGATATAATCTTTAAGCAGAAAAATGCACTCTTGACTGATATCAGATATCACAAAATAAGCCGTTTTTTTGACAACATATACAGTAATTTTGATAATAGCTTCGAAATGAGCGAACCGAAAAAACCAGGTTATAGATCTTCAGATCACTAAATTAAGTTTCACGCCTTGAAGTATTGAAAATAGACTGTTAAATACGAGTAAATTTAAATTTAACCACAAGACGTTTCCAACTAAAAGATTAGCTTCCCAAAATACGAGTTTTAATTTCCAGCTATTATTATTATAGACAGTGTAATAAATCAGCAATATGGCATTACGCTAGTCCGTCCGTGATGACCTAAGTGAGAGATTTGTTTTCTATGGACACCACTATGTGAAACCTAAGTGGTCAATAAGTTGTTATATAATTATACACTTTCATTCAAAAGTTATTTAAGAAAACGGATTCTTAGTAGCGTCCTTTGGAGAACTGCATCTCCATAGGGAAGCCCCGGAATGTAATGTTTGAAATATACTTAAAAAATAATTGATATTTTCTCAAAACAGGAATCATGTCTATGACAGATAATGATGAATAGAAAGTGTCCACCCATAAAATGGGGTGAACAATTTCAATCTGTATTTGATTAACAATTTTCCCAATATTGGCGTAATTTGATCAAGACATTTTGAGTTTGTAATGAAACATATTTCATCGACGAGTAGTTTTACCTGGAAAATATCAAATTCCATTGCAGCTAAAATCACCCTATCCAAATGCTTCAAGTTATTAGCAACCCTCATTTTGGTGATACTCCTTTTTGCATACTGGCCAAGCTCAAAAGATTTGGCAGTGGGTTCTGTGTAGAACATCCAGCCAGCTAAGAATTCATACCAAGCCTCACAATGATCTTGTATTTCTATCCAAGCTTTCTCTTCCCCTACCACTAGCTAGAAAAATGAGGTCATTTAGATTGACTCTGTAGTTCCTACTCAATTCTGTCAGCAATTAGATTATGTTTGGTCTATGCCAAACACTAATCTCATATGAACTATGTTTCAAAATCGACCAAAGCAACTGGGAGGTACAGAGTCAATTTACTGGTAATGTATTTCTAACAAACAATATAATTTCCATATTTTTTTTTCATTTTTATATGTTGTAAAAAGTGGGACAAATTAGCCACCCAACAGAGTTAACTATGCACACGTGTACAAAAGAATGCATGCATTTGTACATGACACCTTCACCATATTTGCCTCAATGGCAAATGTATGGAAAATATGTGTGGCTACTTTGTCTAAGAGGTGTTTGTAACATTATGGCAATCGAAAACTTCTCCACATCTTTAACAGATACCCAAGATACAACATTTCAACCCCCTACAAACTACAACCCCTGCCCCTTTGTCAACTCCAAAAAATCTGAAAATGAAAAGGTGTCTTAGAAACATGGAAAAACGAAATGCGTCCGATTTTTATCCGTTGTGCCAGTACCACAGACACTACTGCAACGCCATTCAAAACCTACATAGCTTTTTTGTCCTTGGATAATAGCGACCTTGTCATAATTTCCTTAAAATCCGAGCTGCACTTTTCGAATTATAGGTCCAAGGATGTCATCTACCATCCAACATACATAAAAACTCATTTCTGGAATGTTTCGTGATTATAATACTCCACTAATTGGCATGGGAAGTAAAAAGGTGTTTCATGCACAACTATTTTTCAAAAAGTAATCTTAGTTGGTAGTGTAGTAATAATCTTTGTTTTTTCCTCTATATGCCCTTATGCAAATAGTATTACTATAGTCAACGCCAAACAAAGTGGCGTGCACGTCATCACGATAAAAATTCCCCGACCTAATGCCTAGGTTTCTATCACAAACAATTGCTCTATTGCAGTTTCATATTAATGTGATATATAAATTGTAAAATGGTCATTACTCTCTTATTATGGTTAATAGTCATATAAACATTGTTATTAAAATATCACATAAGTTGCTTTCTGATAAATTTAGACGCATTATGCGAAATAAAATGTTTTGCAAACGCTCCAATCACTTATCGACATGTAAACGCACTAAACCGATTTCGCAGCGTTGACACATTGTCACCTTGAAACTTATTTAAACTGGGAACTGACATTTGTATTAATTTTGACACTGAATCAATTTGTGGCATTTCAAATCTTTATAAATCCTTTGGCCCCGCATACTGTAAATCAACAACTGTTTGTTTCAAAACAAAATTATTCATTTTACGAGTAGATAAAGGCAATTTTGGTATATAAAGATGCCCAAACAGTTAAATAGTCGGTGTAAGGAACTCGTGGCCTCGTCAATGCACTACTTTGAGCAAGAAAGGGACAACAACGGGCCTTTGTTGCCTTTAAATGCTGTTCAAGAGGTAGGTTACTAATAATTATATGTAATGTATATTAATAATAGTGAAATTTTATTTCATTTTTTGTAGCGTGTTGCTGCTGCTTTAAAAATTAGTTTAAGGACAGTTAGTCGTATTTCCGAGGGTGTGAAAAGTGATGCAAATTTAGAATCGCCCAAGAAAAAGCGGAGTTATATTCAACGTGTAACCAACACAGCGACATTGGATACAAGTGCCATTCGAGAAGTGATCTATAATATGTATCACAAAAGTAAGATCTTATTATAATAACTTATCAGAAATTTGCATTAATTTGTTAACTAAATTATAATGTCATATTACACATGGTTTCAGAAGAATAAGTTACGATACATACTTTATGGTCTCGATTAAGAGATAGGGCATTATTTGATGGTAGTGCCACGTCTTTAAGGTGGTTGCTTAGAGATCTTGGATTTAAGTGGCTTAAGGACAATCCGCGACGAGGGCTCATGGAACTACCAAGTATAGCTTTGAAAAGGGTGCAATTTCTAAGGCAATACAATCAAGCCAAGGTTGAGGCCTTATACCAGTTTGTCTTCCTCGATGAAACTTGGATATTTCAAAATGGGACCATAGGTCGCTCTTGGCAAAATGGAAACCAAAAAAGCGTGAAAGCTATTAAAACAGATGGTAAAAGATATGTACTTTTACACAATTTGCACTATAAAATTTAAAACTAATATATTTTAGATACATTATATTACATGCTGGAAATGAAAATGGGTTTATTGAGGGTAGTGAAGCGATATTTTCTTCGAAAACAAAATTGAGCGATTACCATGGAGAGATGAACCAGGACAATTTTTTGAAATGGTTTCAACATCAGTTATTAGAAAAATTGGAGAGTCCATCTATGATTATACTGGATAACGCCCCTTATCACAGCATGATATTGAACAAAGTGCCCAACAATGCATGGACAAAAAAAAATATCCAAGACTGGTTGACAAATCAAAACATACCATTTTTAAACACAATGATTTTGGTCGACAGTTTATATTTCTTTTGTTTATTCCTATTCTGAAAATAACTGCTTTTTTAGAAACAAACCACCTAAAATATACGTGATTGATGAATTGGCGGAACAACATGGGCACAAAGTTCTTCGTCTGCCTCCTTACCATTGTATATTTAACCCTATTGAGTTAATTTGGGGCATAGCAAAAGGTTACTATAACAGACATATTGGTAGAGATGGTAACAGTGAAAAAGACTGTTTGGATATGTGGAACGAGGCTCTACAAACGGTTACCCCAGACATGTGGAAAAATAGTGTTCGACATACTGAGCAAGAAATTTTTAAATGGTATGAAAGAGAACGAATTTTTGATCGACCAGACATCGAACCTTTAATAATCAACTTTGAGAGTGATGAAGATTCAGATTCAGACAGCGCTGAAGAAAGAAACTCCGACTAACTTTATTGTACAGAAAAAGCTTACACCAGTAGCTTACCTAATTTTAGAATGCATTTTTCTGTATGAATTCTGTAAAATAAATACCATGCATAAAATTTGGAGGACCCCATTTGGATTTTTATTCAGTACCTTTAAGCTATCAATTAAATATGGTAGTTTCATAGTGTCATGTGATCAATAATTGTCATACTTAATGATTATGCAAGTACAGATCTATAATTTTATTATACTATTATTTTTGTTCTCATTTGAGGTTAATATTGCTTATAAACCTAGATATGTAAATAATAAATTTTATTATTTTACAAAAAGTTTAGCAACAATGTAAATTTTTCAACACACCCACCTTGATGACGTGCACGCCACTTTGTTTGGCGTTGACTATAGCTGTTTCTATTCAATTACCATACATTTATTTCTAATATATATTGTATACTGTAATACTATTTGTATATTATTCATTTAAAATGAAAAAATCAAGCTTATCTGAGCTGAGAATAAGTTAATCCATTTGGGTTCGATTGTTTATCTATGAATTGTAATGAATCTACCAAAAAGCAATTTGTTCTAGATTAACCTTGTGAAAATAACAATATTGGGCCAAATATGTCTTAGTGAACCAGCTTTAATAAGATTCCATGTTGAAGATGAATTTCTCCTATAACTCAAACGATTTTTATGATGTCAACATGAAAAGTGAAAATTGGGAATTTCTGAGGACCAGGAACAAAAAACCATTTTTTCTCTATAGCTTGGAAGTTGTCATAATATTGTCATGGATTTGGGTGTATTTAAAAATGACGAATATGATTATTATCTTTTCAGTTACAGTCTATATTTTGTTTGAACAATAAGATAAAAGTGATTAAGTACCAAATGAACTACAGTTCAATTAAGCAAACCCTTGGGCTGCTCAAACACAAACCATTGATAATAAAATATGCCATGAATAAGGAAGGAACATTGTTATGGATATTTTGTAACAGCAATAAACGTTATTGTTAAATACTACATTCATTCCTCATCCACAACATATTTCACTCGTAACAACTGTACAACGTAACAAATGCATATATCTCAAAAAGCGTTCATCTAATCAAAATTAATATGGAGCATCCTCCTTATTGCCATTTGACTTAAAAAAGTATCAGCAAATTGACAAGGAACATGAATAAAAAAAAAAAATACATAAAAAGTTGTGATCCAGTCAACACCAAAGTCAAGACTACAATAAATTAAATAATACAAACAATGTACACAAAATACTAACATGAACAAATTGAAAAGATGTGAAGAAACAACAAATAAACAAAAAAAGACAGACGAACACATTGAACACAACTTAAAAATAAATTCTTTGCAATAATACAACTCAAAAGTCTAATGTTAATTATTCTTCAATGCTGTAAAAAGGTCTTTCTATAAATAGACAGCATTGGAAAGCAATGAAACTAGTGACAGCTCTGATAACAATTGGCAACTTGTTGAACAGTCTGATAGGCATTATGAGGGGACCCTTTGCTGATAAAGCAAGGCTATGTTGAGTGGTACACGTATGCAGACAGCATGTATCCCTTAGATTGTAACCACTCTCGACATTGCTTTGTGACCCATATTTTGAAAAGTTCTTTAGAACAGGACATACACAATTAAAAATATGAAGTGAGAATATCGTCATGATGTGGAGAGTTTTGAATAGTTGCTGACAAGAAGTGAGCTTATTACTAAATATTATTGTACGAATCAAACTCTTCTGCACAAGTAGCAAATCTGATATATGTGAGCTGCTACCCCAGCAAACAATACAGTAATTCATGGCTGACTGTATGTGAGCAAAATAGAACACCCTAACACTTCATCATTATACTCAAAATTGTAAGATTATAGTCTGTAACTAAGTGGCCTATACATACTATGTGAAAAATAGAACATAATTGTATTCATCATCCTTAGAAACCTAAAAATGTGTTGGTTAGCTGGGTGGATGGAAGCAGCACTACTAATCTTATTCAGTAAAGCTCACAATAGACAAGAATTTTGCTTAAAAAAACGCACTCAAAACAGTTAAGGGGTTACAATGCTATAAACAGACAGATAGTACACACATACACATGGTAATCTTATAACATCCCTCCTTTTTTGCATCAGGGGTTAAAAAAATGGTTAATTGTAAAGCTAATAAAATTATTTTCTGAAGTATATGATATACTGCAAAAGCTCAATATGATAATTGTGCTAGCTGAGTTATTTAACTAAAATATTAAATATATAGGTAAATAATTCTGGACTTAAGAGACCTTAAACCTTACCCTCATGATTAAATCTAAATGCTTTTCAGAACTAAACAATTTAGCATCAATCTTAGATTGAACATCCATAGTCCAATGTCTCCACTGTATGTTGAATTCATTAATGGATGTTCCATTCACTCCCTAAAAATATGTATACATTTTGAATGGGTAATATTTTCCATTTCCAATTAAATCAAAAGATTTGTAAACTAAAATTGACTAAGCTTCCTTGAATTCTTGCAGGATATATCCTTTATTTGACCTGACTATATATTTGATTCATCATAGAATCCAGCATAAAAAATAATAATAAATAAAGGACGTACATTTTGCAGTTGGATCACTTGCATTCTAAATCATTAAAGTTGACAGTGTCAGTTGATTGGTTCTCACTTAATACTTACACTACATATAGGCATGGCACGCAAGACTTGATCAACCAACTTAAATGTAGGATGATCTGCAGATGAATGTGGTCTCAATAAGGCTCTAACAATTTTCACTCTTCCTTGCAATAAAGAACCAAAAACAGTATTCCAATAATCCTGATGTGTTTCCAAGTTTACTGATTCACTTGCAAGCATTGTTGCTGCATTCCTTTCATGTTTTGGGAAATGAAATCTTATCCATTCTAACAGCTGAGACAACACTAGGTTTCCTGGTATTATATCCACAAACAATATTTCACATAAATGCCAAATACATTCTACTGAGTAAAATATTGTAATATAATTCTGTAGTTGCTCTTTCTCTTGTCCCTTAGCTTCACTAAGATCATCCTGCAAGTTTTCCAGACAGGCTCTTATTATAGATCTGTACTGCCTACTCATTTTAAATAATTCTACTTTATAATCAGCAGGGTTTTTGTTGACAATCAGATTCTGAACGGCTATGAAGACACCACATGATTCATTGACTAGTTTCCTTAAAATAGGATGAAAAAGAATAACCTCTTGTCTCAAGTGAAAAATGGATGATGGAGTATCTGAAAGAAAATTACTAGGAGCATCTGGCAGCTTGATATTTCGTTTTTCGAAGGCTCTTACAGATAGCTGATCAACTGTGAGCCAAGTTGCTGTGATCCCAGCTCTTTTGCAGAGTTCATTGGGTATAACCTGAAAAATATTTTGGAGCGTGAATGGAAAAGCGCAACAATACATTCAAGTTTACAAGTTTTATAGACAAAGCCATTTGGGTTTAGATTCTACAAAACATGATAATATTTTGAGGCATTACGAATTCCAAAAAAAAAACACAGAAAATCACTCACAAAAGTTTTTACTTCACGTTCCATTTTCAAAGCTAAATTATTGACTCATTAGATACGTTCTCTTCTTCCTCCAGGAAGATTATCTAAAGACTTTTTTGTGAATAGTTTTTAACCGCCTGCCGCCAAGCTTAACCTAACCTAAGCATAGAATAAAAAGCAAGTGACATTTGACATACATTTACACCACAAAACACAACCACAAAACATATACTGATCTACACGACTTTAGGATGCGAAAGTGAACTAGAACGAAATCTCCTAATCACTGGTTTCGTTCATAGCACAGTAGCGAGTGAGAGTGAGCCTGTTGCCTGTCAAGGGCGGACTTAGGATTTCGTCTAGAGGGGGTGCAAACGATAGTTGGGGCTGGTAATTTTTCAACCTCCGTGGAACTTCTACAATTTATCGTATTATTGATCCTTAAATCCATTGTGTTATATCTGGTCAATGCTAGCCTAAAAAAAAAAAACATGGAAAATGCTCAGAAATCCTTAGAAAGGAAATATTTTATTATATGAGAACAAAATAAGTATGTGGCATTTATAATTAACTAGTGTAATAGTATTAAAGATTAAAATATAAAAAACTGCATTGCTGTGTTAACTGAAAAAAGGATTCTGAGGGAGCCCGAGACATATCCCAGTCGATTCCACACAAAACAATATCGTTGATGGCGAAAACGAGAGTGAGACCGAAAAATTAACATTATCGTATGGACGCTAGACGAGACCAAGAAGGATGTCTATAAACCATCTATAGATCTTCTTCAGACCGTCTCCAGACTGCCTATAGGCAAATTGCGCAACAGCGACTACGAGTACTAGTGTGTACTAAGCTTAAGGATGAAGACTCTGAACTGCCCATTAAGCAAATCAACTAATTGGTGCAAATACTGTCACAATCAAGCACTTCTATTATAGCAACATGTGATAAAAATATCAATAGGTATAATCAATTATTCTTTGAAATTCAATATAGATGTTACAGTTATTCTTCAGGCTTTCGTTGTCGAGCTTAGATTTATGGCATAGTTGTTGTTTTCTCAGTTTTCGAATCGGTTTTGATCGCATATAAAAATTTTGAAAATCTTTGGAAAAACTATATGTGTTAGATCGTAATTATTTTCATAATGTATGTTTGTACCAACATGATATTCTATGTTCACTATTGTTTATACAGGAATTTACAAGAATGGGAGCACTCAAGTATTTTCATGGGTTTAGATCACTTTAGAGCTGATGAACATGAGCAGATATTTATTTATTGCTGGCTTAACACTATATCTCAGTGAGAGGTTGGCAATATTGCAATTTCATAATATTTATCCTTTCAATTAGTTTTATAGTAAATAGAAAGGTCTATGTTTTTTTATCGTCGTTGGTCTGTGATTTAAACGAATTCAATATAGCAACAAAAATAGGCACATACGCGGGAAGAGATGGGGGACGTGTGGTATTGACTTTCAGCATCGATCGACGCATTTTCTGGACAGGCTACAGGCGCACCGCTAAACAAATCTCATAAATGTCCATTTCCAATTTAGGCGTTCATCTAACATAGTGCTTCGCTGCGACACCAACCCCGAACAAAATCAGTCAAGCTTTACACACTTTTAAAATTACTATTGAGCAACAGACAGAACATAAATCACTTTTTAAGTGCAATCTGTATAGCTAATATATTACTCAGACTTATATTTGTCACAAGCCACAATACTCGTATATACGTATAAATCGTAAGAATTGTGCTGTAAACGTAAGTGAAATCAAAGGGGGATAGCGTCTGGAATACCAAAGGATACCAAAAAATCGCAATGCTCAGTTCCTATAGCTATAACTTATAGTTAGTACTATATGCCTCTGTCGCCATGATGTGTCAGAAAGTAACACAATGGTGCGTTTTCCAAATACAAAGTTATAGTCTTTTTCACGAGTATCCATTACGGTAGAATGACAGCTGATTATCTAGTAATTGAAAATTCCCCATATCGGCAAAGGACACATAATTCGGACGGATCCGTCAATGCCAGGTAGACAGAGCCATATTTTGTTTTGGTTTCTTGTACTCTACAGATTCATTTTGTACTTGCTTAAAGCTCTTTTATTTAGAAAAGTTCATTTCCATACAAAAAACAAAACGCTACAAACAAGTTTTACTAGATTTACAGCCGATTCATTATTGCCAACATTGCAGACTAACACAAAAATGTCACCTGCTGATCAGCTGTGCACCTCAGTAGATGTCAAAGCGTGATGGATACTCGTGAAATAGGGTATACAGACACCCTGCAAGAAATCGGAATACGCTATAGTGCATAAGTTTTGACATAACAGTGGCATGTTTCATCTTAAATCGCTCCCAAACGATATGGCGAATGCCTTACAACGTTGGACACATGGCCATTCGCCACATCCTGTGGGAGAGCGCTGACAGATTGCATGTGTCCAATGTTCGCCACAAGGCACGTTCGGGCTCTTTTCGGTAAATTTGAGCCGCGTCAAAGGACGTTACAACGTTGGAAACATGGTTCGTTACGCTCCCACACGAGATGTCATGTGTTGGTTATAAATTATCAAGTGCTTACAGTTGTTTCATTATAATATCCTGTTGAAATGCAAAACTAGTTGAGAAACATTGACTTGCATTTCATAACCTACGAAAAAGATTAACATATGATAACTCTGAAAGCAGTATCAGGATTTTGATGAACTTTTGACCCTAGGTTACTACTATGAAAATGACAAAAAGCTCTGCAGTTTTTAAAAATCGCTACAGTGGCGGCGGAGTTATCGAAAAACAAACAAAAACAGTCAAAAAGTTTTTTGACATTTCTGAAGGTTCTGACAGACTTAATCGTTCATTTTGTATAATTTTTCCTTCAGTTGTAAAGGTTCAAGCGCGACACTGAACCGATAATAGACGTTGGCACCAGGCACCATCATGCGTCGAACGTCCGAGACTAAAGTTCATCTCATCGTGTTGGAGACACACTTGCCAATTCTGAGGTGTCGAACGTTGTAAACAACGTTGTGTAGCTAGGTAACTTTTTCGGTTTATAATCAAATTCAAGCGGATAACCAAATGGAAATGGTTTGGTTTGGTATTTACCAATCCGTTCAAGCGAGTGTAGTTATCAGTTTGGTTATAAGATCCGTGACGTCACGAATTAGCTGTTATATGTCATAGTTATCACCGCAAAATTGTGGTATTTACCCAACTCAAGAGTAGTTTTATATTTCTGGTTATTATTTGAAATGTGACAAGTTAGAATTTTGCCGGGTATTGGATATTTTTATTGTACTTCAGCTTCATTTTTGAGAAAAATGATACAGGCTGACTTCAGTTTTACCATATTTACCTTATTAGTTATACTCATTACGGTTGTTGGCGACACTTTAAATGTAGTTCCTATGCTTAACAAAGTATCCTGTGTAGCCATATACCACAAGAATATTAAAATATGGCCATATAAACTCACTAGATGATATCCACCTGTATACGGTTTTGCTAATTTCTTTTTTCATCATTTCTGCTGAATCAAAAATGTTTTCTTTGACATGCGGAAAAATTTAGAGAATTGAAAGTTATCATGGCTACAAAGCCATGGTTCCATCATTAAAAAAAAATCTGAAAAAAAATTTCTCCCATGAATATTATGAAAGGTTTCTTATTTGAACTTTCCATATACAGTTGTAGACGAAAAAGCACCGATTATTAAGTGATAATAAAAATAATCAGAGATTATATACGCGCTTTTCTAAAATAAACAACTTGCAACAAAACCGCGGTTAAAACCAACGCGTTCAAGCGATTCGTGTAACTGACGTCATCAACCCGTGTGTCATCTTGAACCATATTATAACCGCGGTACATAACACAGAAACTTTGGTTATTCGCTTGGATTTGATTTATGTTTGTGAACCAACTTCTGTCACCGTAGCAATACAACAATCTGTCAATAGTGTCACTTTTTTGTAAGTTTGTATGATTTGCAATATTTAGCCGAATTTGTTAATTCTTCATACAATTTTCTTTGAATAGGGCAGATCTAGAGAAAGGATACACTTCCTTATTCACATTCTTTAAGGAATGGCTTCAATACTATGCCCAGACGTACCTTCGCCAGGATTTGGATTTGAGAACTGTCGCAGGTTAGTTTTATTTAATTTTATATGGGGATAAGCAACTCACTACGATCATTATTTCCAGAAATGCGTTGCTGGAAAATAAAGGTCTTGCTTTCCCGAAGGCACAAAAAACGGGAACAACAATTGTTGGCATCACATTCAAAGATGGAGTTATCTTGGGTGCTGATACCAGAGCTACTGAAGATACAACTGTAGCCGACAAAAACTCTGAAAAGATCCACTACCTTGCACCTAATATGTAGTAAGTTATTTATCACAACAATTATTCCATTACAATGTGTCAGTTGGATAAAAAAATAAATGGTTAATCTACTGCAGATAGTTGAAGTTAATATAATTATGAAATGTTTTTTGTTTCAATAATTTGCAAAGACACACTAAGTCTTCTTGCATTTATCCACTGAAGACAAATAACAGGTCTTATATTCCATTTGTTCCGGCCGACCCTTCAATTATGAAATGTTTTTTGTTTCAATAATTTGCAGACACACTAAAATCAAATTCAAGTGAATAACCAAATGAAAATGGTATTTACCATTGTGGATTGGTATCTACCGAGTCGTTCAAGCGAATGTGCTTATCAGTTTGGTTATCAGATCCGTGACGTCATGAATCAGCTGTTATATGTCATAGTTATCACCACAAAATTGTGGTATTTACCCAACTCAGGAGTAGGTTTATATTTCTGGTTATTATTTGAAATGTGATATCTTTGTTGTACTTCATCATCATTTTTGGGAAACTTGATACAGGTTGACTTCAGTTTTAGCATAAAGTAGAGCATGTTATTGGTTATAATCATTACTGTTGTTGGGGACACTTTAAATCTAGTTCCTATGCTTAACAAAGTATCCTGTGTAGCCATATTCCACAAGAATATTAAAATATGGCCATATAAACTCACTGAATGATGTCCACCTGTATATGGTTTTGCTAATATCTTTTTTCATCACTTTTTCCTATCATTTCTGCTAAATCAATAAGTGTTTTCTTTGACAAGCGGAAAAGTTTAGAGAACTGAAAGTTATCATAGCTACAAAGCCATGGTACCATCATTCAAAAATTTTTTATGAAAAAAAAACATTTCTCCCATTAATATTATGAAAGGTTTCTTTTTCAAACTTTCCATACACCGTTCTAGACGAAAAAGCACCGATTATTAAGCGTTAATAAAAATAATCAGAAATTATATACGCGCTTTATTTCTAAAGTGGACAACTTGTAGCAAAACCGCGGTTAAAACCAACGCGTTCAAGCGATCCGAGTCACTGACGTCATCAACCCATGTGTCATCTTGAACCATATTCTAACCGTGATACATAGAAATTTTGGTTATTAGCTTGGATTTGATTTAAGTCTTCTTGCATTTATCCACTGAAGACAAATAACAGGTCTTATACAAGGAGTGTTAATAGTTGTTCAGTCTAGCACCTATGCAAATATTCTTCAAAAATATTACACTATTTCTCATTTATGATCCCACTTAATAAAATACCTTGTTGTAACTGGTGTAGGCAAGAACTAATATTATGTGCCATATGTATATATTTTTATTTCTACTTCTACTTTCTTACATGTGTACCTCAATCGAATAGGTAGAAGATATGTACATATATTTGATGTCATAAAACTTTCTGTAGAACAGAGCGAAGGTTCCGCTATCAAATGTCGACCAACTAGTTGTAAAATAGTCTACTAGACAATCTGTCTGGATCACACTAGGGTCTAGCCTAAATAAATCTTAATTAAACTTCGAAAATTTTGATTTGAAATGATCTTAACTATAATGCCAGATGTCAATAATGATTGTCCCTGAAGAGAATTTCTGAGAAGAAAACATCATTAGAAGCTCAATTTTCATAATCCACAAGCCAAAGATAGTGTCTACTGAAAAAAATTAAATTTTATTAAGTAGATAGGTATTCACATCTAATGAGTTTGTATTACAGATGTTTGTCTTATGATCAGAACTCTTATTAAGTAGCTTTGTCTGTTTAGTCTGAGTTCTCGAACGTCTGTGGTAACACTGATTTCTTCTCTTTTTGCATACTTTCAGATTGAAAGTCTTAATCGAGTTATATGGATTCCAATTTCATACTTACTATCACATCCATGTTTTGTATGCCAGTTACTTAGCTTAACACAAGCCGAAAATTGTTACAGAAATATTAAGTTGTCGATAATTGACAGTTCCCGAATCCTGAATAATTATCGTGACTTGGTGACGCTGTCATCGCGCACACAGCGAATAGCCATTAGCTATTTTTTGTTGCCATACAATTCATAAAACTGGTGAAACCGAAAAATGCTGGCTGAAATGATAACGTTTCTCAATTCACCCCATTTTGAAAGCCTACTTCTTGTATCAATTGAGTACTAGTATTTATACAGCATTGAGTGTTTAGTTTAGTTTTTTTTTTTTTAGAAAAAGGTTCCATTTCTATTGATCCATGGACAACTATGCTTTGTAATGCTATATTTAAACCTGAAAATTTTCTAGTTGTTGTGGTGCTGGAACTGCTGCCGATACTGAGATGACAACTCAAATGATTTCATCGCAGTTGGAGCTGCATAAGTTGAATACTAATCGAATTGCTAGAGTATGCACAGCTAACATGATGTTGAAACAGTATCTCTTCAGATACCAAGGATACATTGGGGCTGCTCTCATCTTAGGGGGTGTGGATACTGAAGGGTCACATCTCTACATGATTTATCCTCATGGCTCCAGTGATAAGTTACCATATGGTAATTCTTTTTAAAAATACATATAATAATATTTAATATCAAATATCAATTATTACATTTTCAAACACATATATTAAAAGATTTTATTTATAAAGGGTGGCATTAAAAAGTTGATTTAACTTGCCAAAGTACATAATATGAACATTACACATTAGATGGTTGATAACTATCTAAACTGCGCAACTTAATTAGCGGATCACTTCTTTGATCACTTTTTGTAGTTCTACTGCTTGGCTAGTTATAAAGTGTTTTTGAGGCAAATGTACCCCCAACCTTACTCTACACGTGCTTTTTGCATGCCTACTTATTTGATTCCACTGCAGTTCAAAACAAAACATAGCACACATCTTTGTTGAGAGAAAACGTCTTAAATCGAGGTTTAACAAAGGTTGCTGGCGTTGCAATGCTTCAAGCATCGAGTTAATAATAATAATAATCTATATTTCAAATTGTACAATGACATTACAAAAATTGTATAGCCACTACAAAATGAAATGTTGCGTCACTATCACCATAACTATAGTAGTTTACCTCAGACCTTTTTTGTGTTTCATGGTTATTTATCTTAAAACAGCTACAATGTGAAACTATTACAACTCCCATAGAACTCATCTATTGTATAAGGCTCTGAATTGCCGAAATCAGACATTTTATGATTCAACTCATAGTTACATCATGTGGATTTCATCATTTTTTTGTATTCTCATCATTTAAAGTTCCTCCCAGGCAGTAGTATCGTGCGAAACTATGCGAACAAACTGTGGTGGGTGCCTTTGTGTATTATTCTTATAAAGCGATAGGGATTGAAGTAAATACATCAAATTAAAATAAATCTTTATTTTAACCGAAAGTTCATTGATGCTGGAGGAGAATACTTTGAACGTTAATAAAAGTTTTTAGTTTTCGTGTATCTCAAAATATATAACGTGGCCCTCGTATAATTGTGTGCGTAGTGATGAACATTGCAGATTTATTGGAATCATTCAAATAAATGGATACATATTGGTATCTTTCTATCAGAAAACTGTTTATAAGTTGCACAGCAGGACAGCTGAAGCCAAAGTATTTTAATTTAGTGCAAAGTATATCATGGTCAATGGTATCAAAAGCCTTGCTGTAATCTAGTAATACTAAACAAACAATTTTGCTGTTGTCGACTGAAAACATTAAATCATCGACTATGCAAGCTAAAGCTGTTGTAGTATCATAAGATTTGCGGAAGCCGGATTGAATCTGTGGTAAAATAGATTTATTTGTAACATATTCCGAAATTTGTTGTTGCATTATCTTTTCTAGGACTTTTGATATTGGTAAAATACTGATTGGTCTTGAGTCAGAGAATTGATTCGGATTAGATATTTTATGTATAGGTATTACTCTAGATATTTTCCAAATTCCAATTTTTAATATATGTGATATGATTTCGTAAGCGGTTCTCTAATAACAGTAGCATTTTCCGTGATATAGTGTCATGAAGAGCTGCCTCTGTTTTGATAGCTTTGATACAAGTAGATATATCAGCTGTAGTTACTGAACAAAACAAAGGATTCATCATGGTTATTGAAAGGCCCAATATTATATTTATGTAATAAATTCACCTGAAATTGAGTTTTGTCTAAGTAGAGAGGTTCGAAAAGTATGTGTTGATTTCATCGGGCTTGCCTAAGCGAATAATCTATAAATGCTTTTTTCCACGATGCATAGCATTTTTCGTGTAATTTCTCAATTCTTTGCTGACAATTCCATCCAGTTGACCCCTTCAGCGTGAATACAGGAAAATTCATATATCACGGACATCGTAATGTGTACCAGAGAGAAGCGCGAGAAGAGTGCAATACGTGTGTTAGAAAGAAGTACCTCGTTGCCTAGCAATCCGAGTGACGAGGCCACCAACGCAGCTGCGGCTTGCCGCGTTGCCATCGGCGTACTCTTTCTAACATACATATTGCACGCTGAATGGGGCCGGGCACTGTCCTGCATAAATATGAAGTCCCCGTATTGTTCATGGGAGATAGGCACAACTTATGGCTCAAGCACCCCCACTAATGTAACGGTAGGCGTTAATGCTAGGAGGTGGGATGTGTACTAGTGGTGTGCGATAACGGAAGTTATGACCGCTCACACCATCATTGACCACCCACCATACGGTACTTTGTTAAGTACGCAGCAATCTCTAAATGGTTCGTTTCACCGCCTCCTTACCCGCTCATGACCACGTCGGGGTTTTTCAATACCAGGATAACTTTCAAGTTAGGTAACTATAACTTGGAAGTTGATTATCAGTTGCAGTCTTGGTTAACTAGCCCATGCCTGTTGATGCATGAACGTTGCTTTTATGTTTAAACTATCGCGTCCTGCACGTTTCGTGATGCGCGGTATTTGTGTCTGGTGAGTTACCCTGGGCAAGAAAACCCGGCCTGACTTGTGCGGACCATAATATTTTATCTATTGATGACAGCGAAGCATGGGAATTGCAGAATCAATCTACTTGACATTTTTGCCATCTAGTCGTGGGGTAATGAGTTTAAGAATGTAACCCTGCCCTGTGCCATATAGGCTTTGTCATATGTTAGAAAAACTACATTCTCTCTGCCATTGAAAGTTTCGATTAAAATGCAACATTTCTATTGACTAATAATTGAATGCTTACCAAGATGGAAAATAGCTCCTTCCAATTTCCCAGAGTGAGCATTTACACTCAAATGTCATTTAACTTCATATAAATTCATGGAATTTATGTTAAAGTTACTATGGGGTCTGGATCACTAGCCGCCATAGCAGTTTTTGAGTCGCGTTGGCGTAAGGATATGGATGAAGAGGAAGGAAAACAACTAGTAAGAGATGCAATTGCTGCTGGTATCTTCAACGACCTAGGATCAGGTTCTAATGTAGATCTTTGCATCATCAAGAAGGGTGAAGTTGATTATAGGAGAACCTATGAAGAGGCCAATAAGAAGGGCATTAAGCAAGGAAACTACAAGTATGTAATATTTGTATAACTATATTACGCAAACATTTTTCATAACAAGAGTTTCGAGTTCACTACGTATAACAAAATGATTTTGCATTGTCTACAACGGATATGTATTGAAGAAATGAGAGGTGTCTAATATTCTCTTCAAAAGGCCTCCGTTTTCGATGGATTAGTTATTTCCAGTAGTTTTTTCTCAGTTAAGGGTATCCTGTCATTTTGCTCATTCTTACAACAATGATGCGAGAACAGTTTCAAGTTGACTACCTATATTATTTTGCATTTTAATTATTGAAAAGAGTTTAATACCGTCTTCAAATTTTTTTACTTTCCACATCGTCATGTGGGCTGGATATCCTGACTGTGCTACAGTGTCGGCTCGCGAGTTCGAATTTTGGCCTCGGACATTTTAAGCATGGATGATGTGTTTACATACAGTAGCCGAAACATTCTTAGTAATTTTTAAAAAGTGTGCTTGCTGTGGAACTACAGTCTAGCATGAGACGACAAAAGTATGGAAGCATATTTTTTTATACAAAATTAAATACAATAACTCTACAAAAAGATTTAAAAAATACTGTTTAGCTAATATTTGGTAGCATAGCCTTTAGCATGCAACACTGCCCGACATCTGCTGCTCATAGAAAACATCAATTTTTTACAGATGTCTGTTGGGATATTTTGCCAAATATTTTTTACATAATCAAATAAATCGTTGCTATTTTTAAATATTATTCTTGTAAGTTGTCCTTATCATGCTCCCAGAGATGTTCTATTGGGTTTAGATCCGGAGAATGCGAAGGCTATGTAAGAACATTGACATTTTTGAGTCTTAACCAGTCCTTTACGAATTTTGAGGTATGCTTGGGATCATTATCTTGCTGGAATGTGCAGGCATTTTTTCTTCATCATAAGAACATCTTTGTAAAGTTTTTTATCCATTTTAACAAAAAAATTTAACAATTGGACCTGTTCCAGAACTAGAAAAACAGCCCCAAACCATGATGTTGCCTCCACCGTGCTTAACTGTTGGCAACTGCAACTTTTTGTCGAATCTTTTTCGTATTGGACGTCTCACATATGGCGTACTTTCAGTTAAATTCGCTTTCATCACTCCATAAAACTGTATTCCATTGTCGTTCTGTACAAGTTATATGAGTTTTAGCAAATTCAAGCCGAGCAATACGATTTTTTTATGAAATGAGAGGCTTTTGCACTGGACGCCTACCAAAAAGCTCAAAATCCACCAAGCGTCTCTGCACTGTTCTGACGGAAAGATTCTCGGCGCCCTCTTCCACGATTGTTTTGAAAATTTCAAGGATCTTTATGGGACAAACGTTTAATGTAGCGATCCAAAACATAATCGATTTTTTTCTGTCTTCCGCCCCTTTGTTCATTTTTGATCTTTGAGAAATGTCAACATTTCTGACACCACTTCTAAACAATTCAATTACTTTGTCTCTTAAATCTTTTGAAAATTCTCTTACTTTTGCCTTTCTCACTGATGTTACTATTTACCGCACGCATTATCAGAGTATCGCAGAACAAATAAATACGGCAAAACTGAAATGTTTCCATACTTTTGTCGTTACAAAAACTGTTGCCACGCCTTTTTTTTTTGGTTAATTAATAAAACACAATGATAAATGGTATCTAACGATTGGTCCAAGCAAAACAGTTGTCTAGTGGCGTGCAAATTTAGACCATAGCTCAATAAAGCGATACAAGTCCAGCCTCGCGGAGACGATCGAAAACTAGATCTAAAAGTTGTAAATGTTCAGAAAATAATGATGTCATCTAAATAGACCATCACATTAGGCTCCAGTTCAGGACCAAAAATTGTATCCACAATACGTTGCCAAGTTGCGGGTGCATTGGTTGAACCAAATGGCATCCTCCTAAACTGAAAAAGACCCCTTCCTGGGACAGTGAATGCCGTATAATCGCGGGAAGTTTAGCTCAAAGGTACTTGCCAAAAGGCAGATTTAATATCTATGGATCTAATGAATCGAGCATTTCGTAGTCTATCCAAAATGATTGAAATATACGGAATAGGCCACGCAGAGAATCTGAATATTGATAAAATGAACCTTGTATTAGTACGAGAGCCAAAGGTAGACTTTAATATTTATATGATCTATTCTTTCGCAATTTTAATTTAGGTATATGAAATAGTTCATAATAATGTTAATATTTGTTTCCAAACTTTTGTCCGTTACTGTATGTATGCATCAGATCAGTGCAAGATCAAATGGATACGTTGCATCATTGGAGCTGACTTATTCAATTGTCAGTTACCTGGCATGTGAAGTATAGAGTTGGTATAATGGGGTTGGTAAAGAGAAAGTAGTCGCTAAGCTTCGCCTCCCCACCACTAATATTACTACTACTACTTCTGCCGTGTCATAACTAGGATCATTCTTTTACAGATATCCCAAGGGTGCTACAAATATATTGTCTACAAAGGTGGTTGAAGTTGAGGATGTTATGGTAACTAGGATTGAACCAGAGAGAATGGATACTGCGTAACTTTCTTTACTTTTATTTATTCATATTGGTTTTATAACGAATTAAATATGATTCTCTTAAATATGATTTTTATTAAAATATAATTCTGAGATTCCTGAATAGAATATATACACATACTCGTATATGAAATATTAAAAAAGTCACCTAATAGTGATACAAAATATAAAATATAAGTTAAACAAAACATTGAGATATGTAACATGAATATATAAAAAACAGTTAGATGAGTATAAATATAATGAATTGTGATTTCTTATTTACATGGGTATAACCTATATAAAGTTTCTATAAAAAATACTGTTCTCAATACGTAAAACAAAATTAGCTGCTGTGCCCAAAGATTACATAAAAGGCAAGTATACAATTCAAAAACAGATGTCACTATTATCTGTAACTGACTTGTCACTTAAATACATGCAAAAACATCACAAAGTATTTTACAGGTGCAACTAATTCTTATGAATTATGAAATCCCATGTGTCACTCCATCTTAAATTCACTATATCACTAGCAGTTAATTCCACTGTGCCATAACTAAAAACACTAAATTTCTTAAAAACGTGAATCACATATACAAACCAAGTTAAAACCAGCATAATAAAGATATTTCCTAACAGTTCAGACTTACTCTTTAAAAGAAAATACATGTGTTCTATAGTAGCACATAATAATAGTGTTTTAAATACGAATGCAGGAAGATAATGATGCAAAAATAAAGTTCTTTCAACAAAAAAATATGGTAAATAATGCAGCAAGTATGCTACTAAAAATATTTCACCTATCGCTCTAAACTGATTCCAAGTAGTTTCATCTATGTCGTAACACTGTCTCCTCCTTCTCAACAGATAGAATATCAGCAAAGCGACATACAAAAGCAAACCTAAGGTTGCTGAATACCATATTGCTATGTTTCCTAGAAGATGCACTTGAGCCTGAAAATCAAGAAACAAATGTATAAGCATTGTTTGCATATTTAAATATGGAAGTGAAACGATTAGAAAAAAGCTATAAGCGCATTTTTGGTTTTCGGGATCTGTACCTTCGATAAATGTCAAAAAATTTGTCCATTTCCGAGTCAAGTTCATTCATTTCATTTTACTTCCAATGCGAGCAAAATGGGTGCTCTATAGAATATTTTAATCATCAATCAGAAGTTAGGGGGTACATGCCACCCATGAACCAATGTCACTCATACCGTCTGTCTGTACTCGTTGGTATTGAACATCATCTTCTTAGTAAAAAAGTACAATTTTAGTTTTCAGTTTTGTCATAAGGTCAATGCCAGTGAATAAACCGTTTGTTTTCCTAGAACTGGTCCAGCAGCCTCTTACTCCCGTTAAATTTTGCTGCTAGATTTCTACCTTTGTTGCTACTATCAGAACGATATGAATGCTTATTAGTCAATCATATTAGACGAAAATACTCCTATTTTGCGAAATAATTGTAAACTCTGGTTCTATTGATGGTGATATTTAAAACATGGACGCATAAAATGGGCACACCAAGTTTTGTGGGAAAACCTTTTATTCGACAACAAAGAATGAGAAAACGTGTTTTTTGGGGATTCAATAGAAAGTGTTGGCAGGAACGAAAAAACTCTTGAAATAATATTTTTCGGTATTTATGAGACCTACAGAATTCGAACACACGTAAAAAGATCCCACTAATATACTGAGTGTTAAAAAAAAGGTAAACACCTACGTATGTTTATCCGATTTTAATAATTTTTTTGTAAATATGTTCAGTGTCCCTTACTAGTAAATTGATTAAATTTTCAGCTTGATTCGTCAACTCACTGCAGAAGCTGGTTCAATATTGTGTTGAGGATCCACGATTTCTTATACATGCATTGACACGCCTGGGGATCGTGCTGATAAGGTGGTCGATATCTTGTTGGGGTATCCCATTCCAGACTACTGCAACTTCGTGAGTAAGAGCTGCTAAAGTCTGTGGAGGGTGTTGCAAATTCAAGAGCCTGCGACCTATCATGTCCCAGACGTGTTCAATTGGAGATAGGTCAGGCGATCGTTGGTGGCCAAGGTAAACGGTTGATGCGATGTTGATCCATGAAGGCTAACGATTCTCTGGCACCATGTGGTCTGGCATTGTCTTACTGAAAAATCGGGTTTTGGATGGTGTTTAGGTGTGGAATAAGATGAGGCTTCACTACTTCCTGAATACAGCGCCGGGCTGTCATATTGCCTCTGATGAAAATTAGCGGTAATCTGTTACCATAAGCAATAACACCCCGTACCATAACTCCCACGGTGTGGTGAACGGGAGGCTCTTTGTCAAATTGTGGGTCACGTCTTTCACCACGTCGCCTTCACACTCTTGTCCGATCATCGTGCATCCCCAGACAGAAGCAGGATTCGTCACTTAACACCACCTGATTCCATTCCCGGTCCCACAGAATTCTTTCTCTACACTAGAGCAAACGGTTACGCCGATGTTCAGCTGTGAGAGGTAGCACCCAATGTGGGCGATAAGAAAAAAGGCCAAACTGTAGTATCCGGCGATATGCCGTACGCATACCAACCATCCTTCTATGCTCTTCAAACCACTGATTATTTAGCGATGGCTCGAGTACTACTGAATCTGTCTCTCAGAGAAAGAAGTCATAACCGGCGGTCTTGTCGCTCTGTGGTCCTTCTGGGACGTCCAGAACCCCTCACTCGCTATCCTCGGCCTTCCCGAGTCCACGTTCGTTCACACTTCAGTATACTGCATAAGGACCTGTTGGTCCTCCTAGAAACTTCTCTTATCGATAGACCGTCTTCACGCAACAAGACAATTCGACACCTCTCAAAGTCACTTACCTGGGACACCTGGAGAATTCTACGCATTCTAGCAATCCCAAAAAGGCTTCACAATAAGCTACACGAAATTTAACAGTTAACTGACACTGTAAATGTACGAAAACAGAATGCTTCTTCATCACCAAACAATACACGCAGCCACCACAACAACTTCTCAGAAACCTGACCATTTTATCACTTGTTTTTCATAGCAAGGGACATCGATATGTAAAAAAATTATGGCCGAAAACCGAGGCAGAATGCAGATCCTGGCACTTGTTGCTAATACGACGATAATTTCACGCAGCTACTTGAAATTCTTCAAATCTGAAGGCTTCTTACTTCCAAATAACCACAACAAAATTGGAGTCGATTGGTCAAGTAGCTTTTGAGAATGTCTGATTGTTTATTTCAAAACACCATCACTACTAGTTTATTGAGCAATATACAGGGTTCGTTCAAAGGGCATTTTATAGCAAAATACACGAGTTTACCTTGCCGAAATGAACCACAAGCCATTCCGAAAGATAATTGTTATTTTTATGCGAAAAACGGTTTCCTTTTTTTCTACGCTAGTTATTATACACATTTTAAAACAAAGCGGATGTGTCTATCACCTTTTGTTGCGAAGAGAAAAATTACTTACAAATACGAAATGTTTGAATTTGTTTAGATGAAAATAACGCAACCCTTCGTTTTTCGAATAAAAATAATAATTATCTTTCAGAATGGCTTGTGATTCATGTTGGCAAGGTAAGCTTATGTATTTTGCTATAAAATGCCCTTTGAATGAACCCTGTATATTATTACTCAATAAACAAGTAGTGATGGCCGGAAGACAGGTGTTTAGGGATAAACAATTAGAAATTCTCAAAAATTACATCGCCAATCGACTCCGATTTTGTTGTGGTTATTTAGAAGTAGAAGCCTTAGGATTTTAAGAATTTCAAGTACCTGCGTGAAATTATCGTCAAACTAGCAACAAGTGCCGAAACCTGCATTTTGTCTCGGTTTTCGGCCATAACTTTTTACTATTACTGGGATCTTTTTACGGGTGGTCTCATTCTGTAGCTCTCATAAATACGTTCCTGTCAACACGTTCGATTGAATCCGAAAAAACACGTTTTCTCATTCTTTGTTGTCGAATAAAAAGTTTTCTCACAAAAATTAGTGTACCCATTTTATGCGGAAATTTGCTAATATGATTAGACTATATATGGCATCTGGGTGAGGAAAGGCCCTTCAGGTGTGTGCTCACTGAGGGTAAAAGAAGCAACAATATCGCAACACAGTGCTTGACCTAGGGCTGTCTCTTTTTGTTTCATTGTTGAACATACTTGGCTAACATTTTCGCGAGAATTTAGGACTCAACCTACTCAAGATTTTTCGAGTAATATTTACTCACATTACTGTTTGGCGATACCCAATAAGCTATCCCTCGCGTCATCAGTGGCCATTCAAGTGGCTCTGAACTATACATGTGGTTTTGCACACCATCTGTACTCGAGAACAGCATCTTGTAGTGCAGTTCCAGAAACTTCTGCCAAAAAGATAGTTTTGTTGGTGCAGTTGGTATCATTTCTGCAGTCACCATGTCACGCTCTCTCTCCTTTTGATCTTCGCCTATAATTGTAAGACACACAACACAATTATACCAGTGATGGTTTTGTATTAAAAGAAAAGAGATAAAGTAAAAATAGATACTCACTTTTAGTATACCTATGTTCTTCAACATTCCAAATAGTATCGTCTTGATTGATAGTTCTATCAGCAGCTACTTCATGCTGATGGAATCCCCAATCAGCTAATTGTTTTCCGGTAAATTTCAATGCAGTGTTACTATCCACGTGGATGAGTCTAACCTGAAAATATGATATGTTATTAAATAGAATATATGCATTTTGAAGTTTTGTGTGTAAAGCAACTAAACTATAATATAATATAACCTTAATTACTGCGCGTCAAAATACGAGGGATGTCTTTTAAGTTTTGCATATAGAAACATATTAGGCCGCGCGGATCGAACGTCAGTACTGAATCTTAACCTCACTCTTTAGTAAACTTAAATTCAAAGTTTCACAACAATACGTGCAGTGTTCTCACTACAGTTAATTTTTAAGTGTCACCAAGTCATCAGAAAAATGGAACTCTACCGAGAACATTTTCGCGCCATAATTTATTACAACTTTCAGAGACAATTATCGCAACAAGAATGCCTTGTTGAGTTCCTGTCTGTTTTCGGCAACGAAGCGCCACATCAGTCGACAATTTCCCGTTGGTATGGAGAATTCAAACGCGGACGGGTGAGTCTTAGCGACGATTCCAGGGTGGGTGCACCAAAAACGGCAGTCACCCAGGAAAACGTCGATGCTGTGCGCAAACTCATCATTGAAGATAGACATGTGACTTATCGCGAGATTGAGGCGTCCTTGAATATCTCAAAGACCTCAATTCAAAAAAAATTACATGAAGAATTAGGAGTAAGAAAAGTTTCTCGATGGATACCCCACCTGTTGACTGAAGAGCAGAAAGCAACCGGGGTTTCTTGGTGTCAAAAAACGCTTGACCGTTTCAATTCCGGAACCTCAAAAAATGTGTACAGCATTGTTAGTGGTGATGAATCGTGGATTTACTGTTATGAACCAGAAAATAAACGACAGTCGGCTGTTTGGGTGTTTCAAGGTGAAGAAAAGCCAACAAAAGTCATCCGTTCTCGAAGTGTTTCGAAAAAGATGGTCGCGACATTTGTGTCAAATGCGGGTCTTATAGCAACAATTCCTATTAATGAGCAAAGAACTGTTACTGCGGATTGGTATACCACCATTTGTTTTCCAAAAGTCACCACCGAGCTTCAAAAAATCAACCCCGAAGCAAAACAAGGCAGTATTGAACGGAAGATAACGTGGAATTATTGGACCATCGTCCATATAGCCCCGATCTAGGTCCTAACGATGTCTTTGCTTTTCCGAAAATTAAAAACAGACTGCGTGGTAAACGGTTCCAGTCACCAGAAGAAGCAGTTGACGCATTCAAAAATGCTGTTTTGGATCTGCCAGCAAACGAGTGGAATAAGTGCTTCGAAAATTCGTTCGAGCGCATGCAGATGTGTATTAATCTTCGTGGAGAATACTTCGAAAAACAATAAAGTCATTTAAAACTACCTACCGTGTTGTTTTATTTCCATATGCAAAACTTAAAAGACATCCCTCGTAAACACTTGATGGCGTTTATATTCCCTTGTCGCTGCTTGCAGAGGTATTTACCACCCGCTGGCTAATTGGAGCGTGGTCATTATCATAATTGATTACCTCTAAAAATGGCATCCGATTGACACATAACCCCCTCCCCTCCCTGTTTTTTCAATATACGAGCAAAAAGTTTATTAATAAAAATTCGATATCTCGCCCCCCCTTGTCCTCGATGTCTTTTTGAAAATGTCCCAGAAATGAAGTGTAGCTAATGGGGGTCTCTATTTTTTAAAATAGTGACTCAAAATCAACGAATTCAGACTAGGTGGAAGGTGCCAGTCAATGATTTATTTATCTCTATATGCACAAAGTCTGTAGTGAGGATTAAAGTGCACTTAACAGTTCTGTCATTAAATTCGTAGTTTTAGTATTATTTTCAAAAAAGTGCGAGTGTTGGCAGATAACTGTGGTGTTAATCGATTTCAAGCCGTGCTACTTATTACATAATATGCAGAGCGGCATAAACCTAATGAAGGTAGATGTTTCCATCGGTAAGTATTATTATGTTGATACAACGCCTGTTATTTTGACAGGCATGGGTAGACAAATGTGTCACAAAAAACTACGCAACAGTGAAATAAACAATGCAACGTAAATTGTAAACAGATTTGGATCTTTCTAATTTATTCGAATTCGTTCCTTACAATGGTTCTTCACGACGCGCAAAAATAAACGTGTTGTCCCTTATTTCACTTATGAGACGGATGTAAGGCTAAAGCAGAAGCGTTTAACATTTGGCAGACTCATAATGTAAAAAACCTATGTAATGTCAAAAAAACCGGTAAAATGTCAACTTGTGCACTAAGTAGCCGCTAGTTTACTCTGCGCCTACTACAACTGAGCATGAAGTGAATATCAGCTAGGTCAAATGTGACATTTTATAGAAAAACCTACATAGTGACAACAAAATCGATATGTCAATTTTTACGTAATACGGAGCAGTTCATGAGTCGATATGTCAAGTGTCATCGGATAAACATTTTGAGTTTCATTCAAAGCAACTATGTATGCTTTATTCTTAAGAAGAAAGCGTGGGATTTTTTTTCATGCTACTAATGAAACAAAAAGAATTTCCTTACCAAAGACTGAATAGTATGCCAAGTATCGCCATTCTGTTCTCTGTTAAGAATATCCAGTTTCCACAAATTTTGGGCTGGCATACTGATATTGTAGTCAATATAGCAAGAAACCTCTTGGCACTGTGGTGACATTGGTGCAGCAACATCATGAGAATTTAGTGCTCTACTTGTTATTCCTACAAAATCATTACAAACAGCATGTAAAAAACCCGAAGAAAAATTCCATTTCCTTTTTTTGAGATAAGACACAATAACACCTCAAAAACCTGGAAATTGGGACTTGAGAAAATTATTTCCTTTTGACGATTGATTACTCAACTCAGGTGCACGGTGGTCCAAAACACGGAAAACATGTCAAAACATTCAATCTATACGACACTTATACGATATTCGGAATAGCAGGGTTTTTTAGGTAGCTGATTTCAAATCCAAAGTTATTAGTCTGGCTAAATGATGACATGTGCATGTGCTGGTCTCTTCAACGTCCCTTTATAAAGTTGGGCATTTGACTCGTCTTAGGTATTTCTGATTGCCGAGTCCGATTCAGAGACCAGTTAATCACTATGAGGGCCACTTAAAAGTCATTTCAAGGACAAATTCAAAATGCATTTAGCAACGTTCAGACGCGTGTCATGTAGATTTTTGTGGTCGATGGGTGCAAATCGGCGATCATTTGTCTCTACTGAGACATGTGAACCTTGAGGCCGCTCAAAAGACTAATTCAAAAAAGTTGATTAGCCTGCTAGCCATAAGACGAATAATGAAGTTGGGGAATGCTTTGCCGATTTTTTATGTCATTTTTTCATGACCCTCTACCAAATATTTTCATATTTCCAAAAACATAGCAGCAATATATTTTACAATCTCCTAGCATATCACTCTACAAATTTCATTAAAGTCTGTTTAGCCGACAGTAAGATTACACAAAGCTACTGATGAATCTTCGAAATGAAAGTTTGTTCATTCTTAATTATGATCCATATTCAGATGTTCAAAGTTTTTGAATACATAACACAATGGTTGACACAGAACCTATCGACTTTTCCCGTAAAGAAGGGCAGTAGAAGGCCACCGTGGAGGCCGAAACCCTACTAGAAAGAAGATATTCAAACATATAGATAAAATGCGGCCAGACAACGATGGAATCCTAATCACTACAAACTTCAAGTTTGATAGTCTGCCATGGTAAACAAGCAAGGTTTTGTTTTCATGGAATAATTATAACGAAGTCTTAACTTTCTAAAACTGGTAATGAATTCAATCATTTCATTTTGTTACATTGTATTTTGAAGGTTCGACTGGTTTTTCCATAAATGGATCGCTGTTCGCCGTTTGAACTTTCACATTCCCGACGGAATCTTGCATATGTTGTTTCTGTTTTGCGTGTAGTTATGCGGGCTAAGTGAAGCGGGTCAAAACAGGGTGAAATAGCAGAGTTGGATAGACAACTGGGGGCCTAATGTGTATAGCGAATATTTACTCAGTTGCATTTGCAAATTCGTATTTTTCTGTGGATTGTTGTACAAATGAGTATTCAGTTACCATTAATTATAATAACTGTGATCATTGTCATATGATCACTTCCAGTCATATGATGTTATAGCAAAACTGTGCATATGATTACCATGAACAAGTTGTATGATATCACCATGTTTAATAGCATCTACTGGTTGTTCCACTCTAAGATCATTTCTATCTGGTCGTTTGACAATCCACCAATTATTCACATCTTTGAATGAATAACAAGTCACCTGTTGCTGGTGACTGGAACCGCGACCATCTGAGTACCTCACTGGATACACTGCTGCATGAGAATGTAACCAGCAGGTTCTGCCATGTGTATGCCTACAAATATTTTCTAATTAGAGTTGCGACAAATCGTTTTGAACCAAAAATAAAGTCAGGATATAAGCAATGAAGCCTTTGGACATTCGTATACTTAACCGCAAATATGAAAAGGAATACAAAGTGCATGATGACAACTAAATTAAAATATTATATGATAACTAAAAACAATGATGATCATGATAGACATTTTTATTTATTTGTAATCACATTGGTTACGTTCAGTTGCGTAACCGCTGCAATGCTGCTGAGGTAAGACTCAAACGTGCTTTTGTTACTCTCATGTTTAAATATATCAGTCATTAGCAGATGTAAATAATAATGAAATATGCACAATAAATGGAAAAGTAAAGAAAAGCATAAACGTCACTCCTTATTTTTGAACGGGTCAAATCATTGAGCTGAAATTCGATAAAATTGATGAATGAATACTATATTTCAGAAAAAGTTGAACATTTCAAAATGCTAGCTTGGCGCCATCTTTAAACATTTTTATCAATCTAAAGTGGGACCATGTGATACTCCATATTGAAACTCTTGCTAAACTTGACCAACCAACCAACTCCGCCCTCTTCCAGTAACATTTCAATGTATTACAAATAATAATAATAATAGTGTGCCTGAAACAAACGAATGATATCTTGAAAACCGCAAAAGTGCAAAATTGAAAAGGTGGAGTGTTACCCTAGGGGTATTTTCAACTCAACCTAAAATAGATATGACGACTAGTCCTTTATTTTCTACAACGATACATATTGTATATAATGGTTTTGTATTTCTAGGGGTTGTTGAATTTTCTCAGTTACCACATCTTCCCATTGAATCTTCAAAAAAGCTACACAATACTATGAAACCAAAATCACTCCTAGTAAACTGACAACTACTATACGGTTACGAAACTAGCGTACGAGAATGCATGAAAATAATATTTTATTGAGTAGATTAATAATTTTGTCACTGTCAAGTGCTTTGTTTCACAAAAATGTATGTTTTTATAATAGCAATGACATTCTGATTGAACTAACATTTTGGGTTATAGAGGAAGAAATTAACGTTGCATCACTCTGTATGATCTATCACAAGTCAAGAGCAGAATTGAAGGTAGTTTTGAAATTTGTTTTATACTGTTGCCAAAATTTCCCATAAATTCGTGACAAGCCATGAAGCACTGAAAAATCAAGCCATTCAGTTAAGCAAGTATACGCGGGATTTCGATAAATTCTAAACTATTTTTACAGGGAGGGAGCCTATACGTCAATATAAAAAGGATTTCACAAAATTGCGTGTGACTCTAAAATAGTCGGCTTTATACTAAGGTATATGTGGCTTAATGTGTTTCAACTAGGGTATACCCCTCAAAAGGCTTGTAGCTGAACCTACCGATTTTTCGGTATTTCAACCGAAATGAGACCTTATTTTAAAGATGAAGTATTTGGCTAATGGCACTAGATCCTAGTGCCGATAAAAAAAAAGACCTTATTTACTATTTCAAATATTTCCGGACTTTTTACCGAAAAAGCGTTGGAACCTGGAATCAAAAATAAAGCTAAACAAATGAATTCTATGTGGTTTATGTAGTTTTATGCCCATTACACATGCATACACTTTTTATCCTGGTGGTATGTAATTAAAAATAATGGAACTGACCAGATTTTGAACCACATTGTTATATCATGATTATTTAGCTAATAACTAAAAACTTATGTATGGTCATTATTATTTAGGTTTTTGCAGAAAACATATACAATTAGTTGGTAAGCTGTTTTTTTTAATAATAATAATAATTGTCTTTATTGGATTAACCAAACGGCAGAGTTCACATTGCATGCTTTTCCACTCAACCTTATACTAAGCAGTTTAATTTTGTTTTTATATTTATAGAAAACGTATGTAAATATGCTGCCTGACTCAAAAGCCATTGATCTGCTGCTGATGTTGCTCCAGCCCCGATTTTTTCTTTCTGCTGATTTTGTCCTTGAATCTACCAAATATCAATTACTATCTACAGATTTTGATAACTAGAGGTTGTGAATCTTGAAGAGTTACAAAAGAATGTTGGTCCTCATTATACATCTATTTGTTAGTAATGTGTTCATGCAAAGATTAAATCTGAATAACTTGCAACAATTTCTTATCATACCTTAAAGTAATCTGTGAGCCATGCGCTATTACCAAAGGTTGTCCCTTTGTGATGCTTGCTAGTCCTCCTTCTAAAGAGGCTTGAAAAGCACTTGTCATAATGCTATCATGAGGCCCAGCTTTATATAATATGCTCAGATGAATATAGAATATAAGGATGTAAGTTGTACAAAAGACACACAACCCCACAAAAGCTTGAGTACAAAATCTAACACATAACATAAAGTCTGACTCTTTGGATGTTGGTAAACATTTCCAAAACTGTGTCAAGATCATAACAGCTCCCAAACAACATGAATAAAATCCAACATATTTCACACATAAGGCACATGTAAGGAAAAAAGATCCTAAAACTAACCAAAAGAACCAGGTAAAACTGAATAGTTTTCTACAATTTAAGAACTTTAACAGACAGAAAATGCTTAGAAGTGAAAAACATAATAAGATGGGCTCCAATAAAATAAATCTAGTTTGTGTTAACAATGCATTATCAAACAATAAAAGTAAAGCTGCCAGAAAAGCACAAGATTGAGTCAACCCTAGCTCTAACATTAGGTGATATACTATAGGAATGATCAAACTACCAAGAAATGCAGGTACAAATCGTAGTGCAACAATGGGAACAGATTGTGGATATAGGCTACCAATCTTATCAAACTTAAACTTTCCATCATAGCCAGTGAAGTATGCAACTGCTGCTATCAGTTGTTTGCCTAAAGGTGGATGTGCATCAAAGAAGAATGTATTCTTCATATAAAGTGAGACATATTTGCCATAATGCAGTTCATCGAACCTGAAAAGTATATCAGTCACTTTGAGCCTGTAGGCGAGTATTCAAACTTACACAATATGCCTGGGCTCATCCACTTTGTACAATCTGGTAATTAAACTGCATACAAGCAATAAAATAGATAATATATCAATCTCAAAATGTATTCTGAACATTTTTACGTTTTTGGAAGTAGAACTTCTTTGCTTTCCTTATTGCAATCGGCTTCAGACATGGAATCTTTATAATCAGCCTCATATTTAGTCATTTCACTTTTTTGAGATAATTTCGTGTTATCACTTTTGTTAGACGTTTTCTTATTTTTATCGGATAACGGTACTTTTCTTTTTCTTATGCTCTGTTCCATTTTTACTACATAAATCCAACTTTATAAAACTTAAAAAACCCTTTTGAGCCAACTAATCATCTTTTTCGGATCATTGCAGTTACAAGCGCAAAATTGGCTTGTTCGTATTGTATTTTAGGGATTTCGGAATTTTTCAAATATTTTTGTTATGGCATTGAGATTACCTGACACTGGTGGCTGTCAATCACAAAAGATATCTGTCAAGAATCAAATTCAAGCGAATAACCAAATGAAAATGGTATTTACCATTTTGTATTGGTATTTACCGATCCGTTCAAGCGAGTGTGGTTATCAGTTTGGTTATAAGATCCGTGACGTCATGAATCAGCTGTTATATGTCATAGTTCACCGCAAAATTGTGGTATTTACCCAAATGAGGAGTAGTTTTATATTTCTGGTTATTATTTGAAAGGTGACAAGTTTGGATTTTGCCGGGTATGAGATATTTTTATTGTACTTCAGCTTGATTCTTCATTTTTTTGAAACTTGACTTCAGTTTTAGCATAAAGTAGAGCACCTTATTAGTTATAATCATTACTGTTGTTGGAGAGACTTTAAATCTAGTTCCTATGCTTAACAAAGTATTCTGTGTAGCCATATACTACAAGAATATTGAAATATGGCCATATACATTCACTGGATGATGTCCACCTGTATACGGTTTTCGTAATATCTTTTTTTCGTCGCTTTTTTCTATCATTTCTGCTAAATCAATGAATGTTTTCTTTAACATCCCGAAAAGTTAAGAGAATTGAATGGTATCATAGCTACAAAGCCTTGCTTCCATCATTAAAAATTTTTTTATGAAAAAAAAACATTTCTCCACTTAATATTACGAAAGGTTTCTTTTTTAAACACCGTTGTAGACGAAAATGCACCGATTATTAAGTCATAATAAAAATCATCTGATATGATATACGCGCTTTTCTAAAATAAACAACTTGCAACAAAAACGCGGTTAAAACCAATGCGTTCAAGCGATTCTAGTAACGTCATCAATCCGTGTGTCATCTTGTACGATATTATAACCGCGGTACATAACCTAGAAATTTTGGTTACTCGCTTGGATTTGATTACGCATCAGGTTTTTTGGTGATTAGCCATTACGATTAAACCGCTCCCACACGATGTGGCGAATGCCTTACAACGTTGAACACATGGCCATTCGCCACTTCGTGTGGGAGAGCGCTGACGCATTGCGTGTGTCCAACGTTCGCCACATGGCACGTTCGGGCTCTTGTCGGTAAATTTGACATGCGTCAAAGGACGTTACAACTTTGGAAGCATGGTTCGTTACGCTCGCACACGAGATGTCATATGTTTGATGGTTTTAGGTTAGAACCAGTAGCGGCGACAAACATTATTTATTTGTGCTGTGATTGTGGTGAAGTAGTGGTATGTGGGAAGCATTTTGATTTGAATACCTACCTCTTCATAATAATGTATGTTCCTTAACTAACTTTTGAGGGGAATGGATTAAATCAGTTTACATACAAACCATAGGCTGCCATAACAACACTTTTTTCATATTGCTAATATTTTGAAAGTTTCGCATGTGAGTTATGGCTGGCCTAAGGATATATATTTTAGTGAATTATAAATTATCAAGTGCTTACAGTTGTTTCAGTATAATGTCCTGTTCCAAAACGAGACTAGTTGAGAAATATATTGACTTCCATTTCATAACTAACCAGAAAGATTAAATAAACGATAACTCTGAAAGTACTTTCACGGGTTTGATGTAATTTTGACCCTACTATCAAAATGATGGAAAAGCTCTGTAGTTTTTGAAAATCGGTACACTGACGGTGGAGCTATCGTCGAAAAACAAACAAAAAACGGTCAAACTTCGTTTTTCGCCATTTTTGAGGCTTCTGACAGACTTAAGTTTTGGTCCATGAGGACAGATCTGAAGTTATTTTTCGGCGCTCAAAAAAATTGTTTCTTCGTTTATCTTGTATAATTTTTCCTTCAGTTGTAAAGGGTCAAGCGCGACACTGACACCGATAATAGACGTTGGCACCACCATGCGTCGAACGTCCGAGACTAAAAAGTTCATCCAATCGTGTAGGAAACACATTTGCCAATTGTAGGGTGTCGAACGTTGGAAGCATCGTGTGGGACCCGCCTAATCTGTGTCCATGATGAAAGCAATATAAATCAAATCCAAGCGAATAACCAAAATTTCTGTGTTATGTGCCGCGGTTATAATATGGTTCAAGATGACACACGGGTGGATGACGTCAGTTACTCGAATCGCTTGAACGCGTTGGTTTTGGTATATGGCTACACAGGATACTTTGTTAAACACAGGAACTAGATTGAAAGTATTCCCAACAACAGTAATGAGTATAACTAATAAGGTGCTCCACTTTATGCTAACACTGAAGGTAGCCTGTTTCAAGTTTCCCAAAAATGAAGCTGAAGTGCAATAACAATATCCAATACCCGGCAAAAATCTAACTTGTCACATTTCAAATAATCAGAAATGTAAAACTACTCGTAACTTGGGTAAATACCACAATTTTGCGGTGATAACTGTGACATATAACAGCTGATTCATGACGTCATGGATCTTATAACCACACTCGCTTGAACGGATCGGTAAATACCAACCCAAAATGGTAAATATCATTTTCATTTGGTTATCCGCTTGAATTTGATTATAGTGATGCAGACGCGAGAGAGGTCATATGCGCACTGCGCAGAAGGCAGAACCTGAAATACATTTCTGATTTTGACGCAGTGACTCAATGGCTCCAGTAGATATCCGTTAAATATCCCACCCTGATTATCGACATTTTTAGAGACAGAGATGAGTTTGCTCAGAGAAAATAGGAATTTAACTTGTCGCCAAACACCTCTGTCAACTGACGATGACATATCCATGGGTGGGGTCTGTTTGGCGTGCAACAACGAGTTATGAAGTAAATCTCGCATTTGACGGCAACAAAGTGTAGACCTCGATATCGAACGGCTGCGAGCCAAGAAAGATCGGCGCCTCGCACCTTACCGTGTGGGTGGAGCTATTTGGGGACCAAGTTTTTGGATCAACCCTCGTACGTTTACACAGACGATAGTTATTGCAAAAACTGCGGTTTAGCTGTCGTTTGACACGAGAGAGGATTCCAGTAAATATATGAAACATTTTCTTCACAACCTGTATTAGAGCCGTTTTACATGGGGGACAGTTATTGTAACGTCTACGGTTGTAATTATGCCGAAAACTTTAGCTGCTGTACCCGTGACAGAATTCTAGTGATAGATTTTACCGTAAAAATATGAAACATTTTGTCTGCAAGCTGTATTATAGAGTAAATAAAAGTGTTGAATGAATTAATGAAATTAGAGGCATTCTGGCCACCATAAGGAGCCAGTGCATAGGCCGCTTAAGGGGGCCCTTATGCACCTCTACACTCCTTAGATCACAAGCCTCGCCCTTTTAGCGAAGTTGAGAATCGCCTTGAGTCCAAGCTCCTTGACGTCCTGAGGGTCCAAAGTAATGGACCCGAGTATAGTCTGCCTTTAGTAGCTCAGAGCTTCACAGCGACACAAAACGTGCGCCGAGGTCTCTTCCTCCACCCGCAGCGGTCACACAAGGGATCCTCAGCCACCCCCATCACGTGCAGGTGGCGCCTTAACGTGTTATGGCCAGACAACAGTCCCACCAGCAACCTTAGGTTGGCTCGATCCAGAGATAGGCAGAAACGTCCACGAGATACTTCTCCATTTCTGAGAGTGTTATCTTGCAACCCACGTCTCCATTTTCCTCCTAGCTCTATGCGCGGTCACTCCTAGAGCTGGTTCAGGACCAACGAGCTTGCTGGCTGATCATGTCTTCACCAGGGTGTCCGCCGTCTCATTGCCCCTTATCCCAGCGTGCCCCGGTACCCACATTAACGCCTTCACACTGGTATAATAATTTAAATAGACCCTTGGACTTATAAACATATACACTGAGAACCAAATTTGTCTGACAGCTTGAGTTCAATGTGAACGAGATAGACGTGTGTATAGGCAAATTTAGAAAGAGTTAGAAGCCGTTTGGCTAGCGTAGCTCATCGCCACGTTGCTTAGCAACGATGATGCGACAATCTGTCTGCGTTGCCAATATATGTTACACCGGTTCCTTCAATTAAGATGTTATACTGAAAATACGCGTTAGTTTATTCTTTACGCCCAGTTAATGTTTTTACTGTTTAGGATTGATTATTTACCGGCGCTCCATTCTGCAATATTTCATCATTGATTCATTTGATAACACGGCATCTTGTATATTTCAAGGCAAGGTTTCCCTCTCCATGAGCATAGGTGAGCGATTTTGTTCAGTGCCCATTTAGCGCTCGCAGAGAAGTGTCGTCCTGCTCTGAAATGGCGTTCACCTGCGTGTACACGCAGGCAGCGATAATTTGTATTGCGTAACGCTATTTGTTATATTTGCCGACCGCAGCGCTGTCCCAAAATGTAACAATTACTCAGTATGAGTCGATTTTATCACCATCAATCGAAATCAAAGGTAATTCTAAAATAAATTAAAACACTAGGCCGCATCAAAATTGCAATAATCGATTCTAATCAACATGAAAACAAAATATTAAATTAAATGTGCGAACTGATCTTCTTGGGTTTGACAGTAACCTGACCTATTGTAGGAGTCTGTGCGAACATTCTAGGGTGTAACATATTGGCAACGCGGCAGATTGCACGACCTTCTGCGTCACCGTTGTTAGGCAATGTGGTGATGACCTTCGCTCTTCAGCCTGCTTCTATCTCTTTTTAACATGTGTTGACAGACACACTTTTCCAGCTTATCTCTCGCACACATTGAACTCGAGCCTTCAGACAAATTTGATTTTCGCTGTAGATGCACTGAACTATTTTGGTTTAGCTTAACTGAATCAGACATGGGTCGTGCATCTTTGTAAAATGTTCATGTTGCTTGAGCCGCTGCGATAATGTCACATGGTTACGGCATTGGTTGGTGCATTTTGCTTGGGATCATTCGATCTATTTTTTTATTAATCCAAGGACAAGGCAACATCATTACTGCCAAATGCAATGTATCAGAACGATAGTCGTTGAAACTCAGAAGCGAAGAGATAGAAGGTTAAACTTATAGAGTGGGAGTGAAGCCAAAAATGTAGATGATGAAATAAGTTAGTACATTGCGCAGGAAATTAATTTCAGGTTTTGTGCATGTGGCATATCTGTCTCTCTCTGTTGCTGTCATGACTGTAAACAACTTCAACAGTTCGGACGAGTTGCAAGTCGAAATATTGGATAATATTGATAAACCACGAAGTAATAAACTTACAAAGCATGACAAAACGTAAGTGAAGTACAAATAAAGAATGCGTCAGGTTGTGTTGAAATTTTTCAATGCGCAGACACTACTTCCGTTCGTGGTGTTTGACTAATAAACTTGTAAAGTTAATTTCACCAGACTATATCCTCTAATCCACGACACAGACATCTCCCGTTCGAGGTGTTCGGTAACTAAACTTGCGAAATTCATTTCGCCACTTTTTTAACCCAGCTAGCGACATCAACTATTACAGTCCTTTCTACAGTTTTTGCCCGTTAAGTCATCTATGCCATACGAAATAACTAAGCAAATTGATTAATTGAAGCATGTGCGTAGCCGAAGCTATCTAAGAAAATTGTAAGCTGGGCAAACCCATATTCGGCACAGCTGCTCTAACACACATGAATTGGTCAATGAAGGACCATTTATTTCATTTACTTTCTCAAAATACTGCCATAAATATAGTAAAACTATGGATATTGTTTGTTAGTTGTATTTTTATGCACTACTACGTTTCATATTGCGAATATCAATAAAAAGTAAACTGAAAACGCCCATGTCAATCGGATGGTCACACTGATAGTGACGAGCGTATATTTGGAATAGTTATACGTTGGCGAGACGAAATTAAATAACGTTTGTCTAAGCTTACACAAACAATGCTGTTTTAGTGGACCGCCAAAAGCCGTGAAATGAACTATTCATGTTCTAGATATTTGTCCAACAAACTTGTGAAGTTAAATCAGTAAACAATATCCTCTAATCCACCAGACGGCTTCTCCTGTCCAAGGTCTTTGGCAAATATACTTGCGAAGGTGATTTCACCAAACTATCCAGCCGACCACACCGACTATTATTTCCATTCGAAGTGTTTGCCCAACAAACCTAAACAGTTAATGGCAGCGATATCCAATTTTGCTCCCGCTAAGCGACGTTCGTGTAGCTGGAGGTCAAACTGACAGAGAAGATGTCAAAAAGAATTTGATATGAACATATCCTGGGGGGAGGCATTACAGGGTGTCCCATACGTAGAACTGTAGCGCTTGATTGCGTGAGATACACTGTATTTGTTGTTTATAACGTTTCTAGATTTTGTAATTTGACACACGATAAAAAATGTTTGCTGCAACAATGCTGTTGATTCATAAATACAAAAATTCTGCGATTTAGTAGGATATCAAATCTATCGATTATAATAGACTTTTGATTATGGAAGATACAAATTTTTATTGGCACTAAATTCAAGATAAAATCTTACATCTTTCATAAATAAAATATAAAAATCTATATTTTCTAAATATAATCTTTAAAATATACAAATATAAAAACTTAATCTAAGGTCTAAGTATACCAAGTTAGATATTTAAATGTGGCAGTTTGTTAGGATAAGACTAAAATAATATTTGATAAAAATATGACAAATTCAAGTTCAATACTATTTAAATGAGTATTAATAAAAGCTAAATGGAGTCTATGTCAGGGCCTGTTAGAATTCTTTGGAAACATAGGTATTGACTGTGATGGTGCAGTGGGATTGTATTACCAGGATTCTATATTAGCTGCAGAAGAGATGAGAACAGACGAAAATACTTTGACTGGACAGAAGGCAGGAGATTATCATCATATATTATCATTACATTAGACCTGTAACTTATGGCCCTTTTCTATGTCCTTAACATAACTTCAATAAGATGACAGATTTGCATAATACTATAAAATAGCAAGATCATAATAGCTTCTTCAAACGGAAAAATGAGTCTGATTAAATCTCAAAATGTTTAAACATAAAAATGAAGCCACAATTTTTCAGAAACCAATCATCCCATAAATACAGTTTGAAGCTGTTTTGGTATTCCTTCATTTTTTTGACCATACTCCGTCACCATTGCACCGTTCTTAAGAAATTAACACGTTAAACGTCAAGCAAAATGTTAGAAAAATGTCCATCAGGCAAAAGTGCCAAAGTTGTGTTTCCAACAAATAATGTGTCTAATCTACCGTCTACGTCAAAAGCTGACACAAGACGACTGAAAAAAAAGAAGGAAGATCACATGAAGTCAGACGGTATTGTACAAAAAGTTATAATGAAAAATAAGGGGTGAAGTACAAAAAAATAAAATTCCAAAAGCTACTACATATTGTGACAGCTGTGAAGGAAATCCCCACTTTTGCCTTGACTGTTTCGGAACAAGTCATAAATAAATGAAATTATTTTATATTTTGTATCCCTACATCATAACTTATTTTAAATATGTGCATTTTCACTGGAATCTTGTTTGTTTTTGTCAAAGTTGTGTGTAGATTTAGTAGGAAATTAAATGCAAAGCGGTTCATGCGGACCGCCATGGAGTTTAATATGTTGAGTAGAGACGCCGAAGACGGACATGCCGACAGGAATGAGTGACATAGATTCTCGTGTTGTATGACACAAAGCGTCTTTCTGGGATTAAAAATTATCACGATCGTCATACGTTTTGAGAAGCACAAAATAGAGAATACAATATTATCATGGTAGTTTTTGTTAGAACAATGGTAATCAAAAAATCCCTCTGTACCACACGTATTACAAAATATCTGCTAGAAATTCTTTCAAACTTTGTACTACTATACTATACATGTTAAATCACCTTCAGTTCAGTCCATGTGTAAATTATTTTTTATTCATGATGGAATATTTTGTTTTTTCTAATGAATACACTACGCAAATTTCTAAAAGTAGTATTTTTGTTGCTAGCCCTGTTTAAATTGTAGTGAGCTGTAGGTGATGCACCATGTTATCAACACTATAATAATATCCACGGGAGATAATACTAAGTTCAGTCGTAAGATATATTTTACAAAACAGTTTTAACCTGGATAAATTTAACATTTTTATTGGTAAACCACAACTAACAACTTTGCAAAACTGGACAGTTTATAAGCTTGCGGCCGATATGAGCCGAACAACATATAATCCTTTGGAACACTTGAAAAATATGAATTGGTGTGTACATTGAACTACTGAGTAAAAGGGAGATTATTTTTTCTTTTTACTGGACGAACTCTTCATATTGTTATTCATAGCATCTGGTGGATGAGGAATATTGCCATTTGCGATCCTGAAAAATTAACACACTCTATTTATATACTTTCCATAATTAGCATTAGCACTAACGACCGATTTCACTATCACTAATACTAATCGGCGGAATCAAAATTTGCTTCCATGGCCCAAATTTAATGAATATGATCGATTTGGAAGATGTCTCTCAAACTAGTGAAAAAGTATACGATTTGTGAAAGATGAGCAGAATGCCCATATTAAATCAAGAAATACTTCATAAATTACCTGGTTTAGGTACAAAAACCTACTTTCATTTGACCGCGGATACAAACTTTGCGGCTACGGCATAACCTCTACCAGTCAAAAAGTAAGATTTAGGCGCTACTTGAAGCATGGACTGGACCAAATATTTTCTCTTTATAGGTTTGTGACAGGTCAGTCAAACTAGATCCTTGCCTTTTCTCCTTGCTGTACAACATTAAATATGCAATTATATAATAATAAACTATTTGAAGGCATGTATAAAATTACATAATGTTTAAAACAAACTGTTTCTTTTCAACTATTGCCTTTTTCACGAGTATCCATCACGGTAGAATAACATGATTATCTATCTATTTCAAAATTCCACATATCGACAAATAACACATAATTCTGACGGATTCGTCATCGCGACATCATGTAGGTTTTTCTACAAGATGTCAACTTAGCACTAACTTTTGAACGCTACAGGTCATTATGCTTCAGCTATCAATGTTTTGCTCTAATATAATGCAACATCCGCTTCAGAAATGGCATTATTGGAGGTCCAAGCTGTAAGGTGTATACTAAAGGTGGAAGGAAACGGCAGTGCTTGTGATGATGATTCCATTGGTTTCTTGTCTCAAATTCACGTAATAGAGATAAGGGTATCCTAGAAGAATTCTTGCAAATTTCTCATTTTCTTGACTTATTTTTCATAAATAATATAAATGAAAAGGTACTATATTTCAATAGTATTATTCTTAATATTTTTGACACTAAATGAGATCAAATTTAAACATTTTAAGCCGCCATGATTAACCGCCAATTTTAATGATGTCTCTTCGTGACAAGGCGTTTCGAAAATTTAAAAGGACCGGTTTGCCGCAACATTGGGATTATTATAAACAAGTGAGGAATCTCACCACCAATGCTGTTAGGGCTGAACAAAAACATATTTTAAGTATTCGTTTAACAGCTGCCGAGTAAATTCAAAGGCTATCTGGAAGACATTGAAAAGCCTAGATATTGCTGGCAAGTCTAATACGCCAAATATACCTGCAGAGTTTGATGATCCGAATGAGATAAATAAGCATTTTCTGATCCCGTCATCAAACAATGTTGGTCCTGATCCTGAAAAATTTCACTTTTACAATAGCAATTTCCGTAAGGATTTTGATCGGTTATTTTCATTTGAACCTGTTTCAGAAGCCATTGTTTACAAATATCTTTATGAGGTAAAAACTCTTGCAACTGGGGCGGATGGTATTAATATAGAAATGCTACTTTTATGCTGTCCGCACATTTTACCAGCCTTAACGCATATTATTAATTGTTGCCTAATAGAAAATACTATTCCAGACTGTTGGAAAGTTGCAAAAGTTCATCCTCTGCCAAAGAAAGGCACTATATCTATTGTCGGGTCTTCGTCCAATTTCTATATTACCGGTGCTATCTAAAGTTCTGGAAAAAATTATAAAATTTCAGTTAATGCTTCATATAGATGAATATGATTTGCTGCCTTCATGTCAGTCAGGGTTTCGAAAGGGTTTTAGTTGCACGACAGCGCTTCTAGATGTTACGGACGAAATTATCAGGGATATTGATAACGGCAATACAGCGGCTCTTGTATTGCTTGATTACACAAAGGTATTTGATTCAATTAATCACCAGTTAATGTTTTCTATTTTAAAATACATGGGATGTTCCGTTAATGCTATTATACTATTCAAAAGTTATTTCTCGAAGAGGACGCAGTTTGTCATAACCTCTTCTGGGGTGTCTGTTTCCAAGCCTGTTCTGTGTGGGGTACCCCAAGGCTCTATCTTGGGTCCATTACTTTTTTCGGTATACTCTGCAAATATTACTAGTAGTTTGGTATATTCAAAGCCTTATTTATATGCTGATGATACCCAGATAATATTTTCGTTCTCTCATACAGATACAACAACTGCGGTTACATTATTAAATGAAAAACTTAGTAATATGACAAATCAAAGCATAGCTCATCAGTTATCCGTAAATCCAACCAAGTCAAATGTTTTATTGTTCGGGAAACACAAAAAGAGCGTGGCTGATTCATTCCATATTTCAATTAATAATAATGTTATTCCTCATACATCCGCTACTAGGAATTTAGGCTTGATTATGGATAGTGACCTGAGGTTTTCAAAGCATGTTGATAAGTGCATTGGCTGTGCTTATGGTCGGCTTAAAATGTTATTTCCACATCGTCATATCTTTTCTACCAAACTTAAGGCTTTGCTTTGTGACACGCTTGTTCTGTCATTATTCAATTACTGCGACTCAGTTCATGGGCCTTGTATAACAAGGTATGATGTAGATCGTATACAGCGTGTCTAAAACTCTTGTCTTAGGTTTATTTTTGGAGTGAAAAAATTAAAACATATTTCTTATAAGTTACCTGTAATAGGATGGCTAAATATGGAAGCTAGGAGAAATCTGCACTCTACAGTTTTGTTTCATAAAATTATTCTATACAAAACTCCACCTTAGCCACACTTATCCACACAATATCAATGTTCGGTATCGGAAGCTGATTTCCCAACCACGTCAGCGTACATCTATGTTTACCAGATGTTTTTCTCATTTTATCTACCACTTGTACAATCACGTCCCCACAAACCTTAAGTCTGTGTCTGTGTCAGCTTTTAAAAGAAGTTACAGAAAACGCAAAAAAAACGGGGAAAATCGTAATGTATAATTTTGAACATAACCTCTCTTCAGAAAGGACAACGAAAATAACCCGTCTGGCACAGCTAATAGATATATTTCATGGGTAGCATATTCAGTAATAAGTTTCTCACATAGCAAATATCACTGATTTCATACACATGAAGACCAATGCACACAATCATCCAGATGTGATCTTGCTACTCTGATACTCAACCACACATCTTCTCAGAGTATACCCTACAGACTAACTCGGCATTCTGCAACCAACAAAGCATGATGGGAACCGAGTAGCAGCTTGTAGCATGGTCATTGAGCGTGTCTTGTCGTTGAGTCATTCCTCCACAGATACACGCTTACAGCGATCATAGCGGGCAAACGTGGAATGAACTATTTGCACACTAAAAACTACCTAGTTTGCAAGATGACATTTTGTCATTTTTTAGATTTTTTACATAATACTCCTTGCTACATACGCTTGATATGTTTGACATTTGACGCTTTTGATGCTCACAGCGAGCAAACGTGTAATGTATTATTTGAGGTATTTAGTTTTTTTTACGCAATAGCCCTGTCGATTCATTATTGCCAACCTTACTCGATGTTTGTAAAGGAAAAACATTTTGTAATTTTATTTGCTTTTTGATTGGCGCAAAATTTGTGTCCTGGCTCAAATGGAAAATGGGTTTTTGTGGCTAAAGCAGGTGATGTAGTATTTGATTTAATAGGGGAATTAGAGGGTTATCTAATTTGAGAGATATTTTACAAGAAATCGACTATATTCATCAGGTACATTACCTGAAAATGCTTATTGGATGACAAAGATATGTATAGGAAGCAACTTGTACAGGCAGTGGATATATTAATACATGTATGTTTACCAAGACGAAATAGTTCCAGTTTTCTAAAATAAGCAAAACAAGGAGTAAATGTGATATTAAATACATATTACAAAACGAAATCTTTGGGCTCGATTTTATCATAAATCCACGAATCAAAATTCACCACTCATAAACCCACCTTCATTTGAGCCGTATGCGTAAGTGATTGCTTACTTAATAATGATCTTCCCAACTTTGTTGATCTAACTCACTATTGGGGTTCTGCATAACATAGGGTAGAGTTGCCAAAACGTAATTTGGTTTTGACGCTTCAGTGTGCTTCTGCCAGGCCATCACAGTGTCCGGGTGCCGTACGTTTCCGAATGATTAATTTTGATCAGCCATCGATCCACAAATACCGATACCCAATCGTAAAACAGATTCCCGGAACGCGACCGGCAGGGGTATTATGTAAAAAAAACTACAAAACGTAAAAAAACCGACGAAATGTCATCTTGCAGACGTATGGTTTGTTCGTACAGCCTGTTTGCTAACAGTCAGAAAACGGATAGTCGGCGACAAGTTTATTCAGTTAGGTGTCACTGACTAAATAGATTGCGACCATGAGAACGTTACGAGTTGGCTTAGGGAGCTTGGACCGATTACTGACATCTGATCCACTGTTCGTACAGAAACTTCTGACTGTTTGATGACTGTCAAATTAGTCTGCAGATTATTGTCCAGTAAATTGTCAGAGCCCGAAATCAAGTACAATCATTATTCGAATGTAACGTCTTTCACCATAAGGTAGACAATTTTGAAAAAGTTCAGGTATTTTGATTTTCTATAAACCAGAATGATCTAGGAGTGACCGACTTTTCCCTATATGTGCAGACAATCACTGAAAGTAAAAATACTACAAGGATTGTATAACGTCTTTGAATAACAAAGAGTGAATGTAGGCTAAAAAGCTAAAACGGCTGAGCATAGTTACAATTTCTAAGATCTGCTCACATGGACAAAAAGAAATGAGACTACGAAAATACAAAAACTCATCAAGGGGAAATCATAAGTCAAGTCGCGTTTTCGCCCTTGAGATAAACTACAAGCAGAAATACGGATAAATAGAAATATCTGAGACGGCAAAGTTGACCATCATGACTACTAGCAATACTGGTAGGAACAAATTCATCGCGTAATTCCGCACTTTGTAACTGGTAACTGTAGGCAAAATTTTTGAAATATTAGTGCTCACAAAAAAATATTATTAATCATGGTTCATGAAAGTTTTGTCCTCTAATGTTCAGCTTTTTCACACTGAATCTAGGTATTGCATTTCTGTCGTTATAGGGCTTATAAACAAAATATTGAACACGAATCACTTTGATAGCTTAAAATGATTTGAGATTGCATCAAATATGAATACATATATTTTAAAGTGCGTACTGAAAACAGATAATTTTATATTAGACCTTATAGTCCTATAAAAAGTTTTAGTGGGGACAACTTATAGCCGAATATACGTATAATTGACTTAACAGCGCAACAATATAGCGCCATCACTATTCTCTGCCACATCACAGGTCTGGTGGATGAATTTTGACGTGATTATATATATGATGACGGATTATGCTCTGGTTTTCGCAGTCTTCATATTGGTTCCATCAATGATGATGCCAGGAAATTTTTTATTATAGAAACACTGCTTTGTTCTATATATTTTGTATTCTTTTGGCCATTTTATGATTTCTTGTGCCAGACTACCCAAAAAGTTACACATTACACTGAAATTTTTTCTGCGACTGTCTTGCTCACTCGAAAATGTTACAAAAACTCGATGCTGTTGAATTGTCCCCAGACTGTCCATTAGAGAAGAGTCATCTTTCTGTGTATTTTACGAAGCAATATTAGTTAGATAGTTTCGACTCATTCTGATACCTGTCACTGATTGACTGGCGTTCTCTGAATTCTCAGAAGGTTCTGCACGAACAGCGGACTAGCTGTCGGCAGACAGTCAGAAACTGTATGAACAGATAACGTCTGATTCTGATTTTGACAGTCACCGACAAGTTATTGACTACTGTCCGAAAAAACCATAGGTCATTTTTGGTGTGAGAGTAGTTCATTCTACGTTTGCTCGCTGTTCGATGACGTTTAAGCAACACGTACAACTACAAAACGAATTCACAGCAAGTGTGCAACTGCTTGTGCTAAGTTAACATCATCTTGTGGAAAAACCTATGAAATGTCAAACAAAAAATCACGAAATGTCATCTTTCAAGATACGTAATACCCGTGCGGGTCACCAATGCAGTGTTATTAGCATAGAGGTAAACTTTACAGTTGCAGGGGAACAGATCCTATAGCAGTATTTCAACTCACCTGGGGTCGATCCTTGGCACGGCAGCCCGTTGGTCGTCCATCCTGCCCGATTGAAAGCGCATGATGAGCGAGAAGAAGTCCTCATCAGGTACGGTGGCTCCGCCCCCAGCATTTCCGGTTCGTGGAGGCGGCGCATCGTTCTCGGCGTCGACCACTGCCGCGACGGGAGCAGGCAATGGCGAGCGCTGGTCCTCCAGTCGCGAGCTCTGACATCGCGCCAACTGTTCCAGGAAGTTGTCAGTCCGGGATGGAGTTCGCGTTCGAGTTTGTGGCTGTAAGACGGCGGAGGGAGGTCGTTTGGAGACCTGAAATGACGCAGACGTAAATGATAATAAGCAGCACTCGACTATACAGGGAAGTCCGCAATGAGCTCACCAAAACGAAATTATGGATTAAATTCATGAAAATAATGGTGTTAAATCAAATATGCCTTTAGGTAAAAAAAATGTTTTTTCTCTATAACCCAAGCTGTCTTTGTTAGGTTAAGATGAAAACTCGGAATTGATGGTTTCTGTATAAAACACAAATCGTAACCCAAACTTTTAGTTTTCTTGTGAGCATGTAGAACTAATTTTCAGAAAAACTGCTAAACTAGTAGTACTGTTTTACCTGGAAGATGAGGCAAGGAAACCCTCTGTTCGTCCATCCTCTTACTCTGCATACCAGCAATCAAATCGATCAGATCGTCAGGAGTTTCGTTGTTCAGCTGCAGATTGGCCATATTGGTATTCTCTTTGTTATCTAAATTGAGGGAGCACCGTTGGTCGTCCATCCTCTTCGACTGGAATCGCGAGAGGAGGTCGAAGAACGAGTCGTCGTCTTCGTTCTTGTTCGGAGTGGTCGGTTTTCCGGGCGGCAATGAGAGTGTTGGACGTTTTCCGTCTGGTGTCATCTAAACAAATATTGTTGAGGTAAATCCTTAGGGAACCAATTATGCTTCATGTAGTAGGATTTGAGCTCCCCATTCCTAAGGAGCATAAGGTCAGAAAATATAAATGCCATCTTAAGAGAGTAACAGGTATGCCAATATCTCAGAAAGCTAAGTAATACAGGGTGTCCACTGGGAAAGTTCACATTTTAAATTTGAATTATGCGGCAACTATATTCACGAGGAAGTGGGGAGAGGTCCTGATCGTCGCGTTCGGCGTGCGGCTTAAATAGTCGCAATGGAACGTTGGACCGGAGCGCAACGTGCTTTTGCTATCGAGGCTAACTTTGGTGATTCATACGCAGCTGCCCTTCGGAAATTTTGTACACAATATAACATTCGCCGACTAAGAGATGCCCTAAGTAAGAACCTATTGAAAAAGTGGATAAGAGGTTCCGTGAAACAGGCTCTACTCTTAGTCAATCCACTCCTGGCCCCACACCTACTGTAGCAACCGAAGAAAATGTGCGTCGAGTAAGTGATTCGGTCATTGCAAACACTCGGCGTTCTGTACGGAAGCATTCCGCTGCTTTGGGACTCCCTATGTCAACACTGCATGGCATAATGAAGAAAAAAAAAATGGGTTTTCATCCTTATAAAATCAAATCAATCCATGCTTTAAAGGAAAGTGATTACGTATTACGGAAATCTTGTGCTGACCGGATGTTGAATCTTTTTCCTACGCAGCGCAGATTCGAGAACGTTGTTTTCAGTAACCATGCCCATTTTCACTTAGACGGTTATGTGAACAAGCAAAATTGCAGATATTGTGCACCAACGAGCCCAAAAGAGAAACATCAACAACAGCTACATAGTCCAAAGGTGACTGTTTGGTACGCCATATCCTCTAGCGGTATTATTGGGCCCTATTTCATTCAAAATGAAAACGGTCAACGGTCAAGAAATAACACCCGCTAAATTTATGAATATGTTGATAGTAATAAATATTTTCTTTTCATTAAGTTTGTATTTTTTTCTTAAATCAAAAAGTGAAGTTTCCTACTATATAACACCAGGTAGAAAAACACAAAATAATTAGCAAGAATGCACAAGATAGAGTTAATAGAGTTAATTTGTTAATCGATTGCAAGAAGAACTAATATGTCTTTCATTAAGGATCGAGAATATTAACTTGACATGAAGTCTTGGATCGTGGTCCAACACACTCCTGTCAGTTTTAAAACTGGAGCATGTAGTGATAAAATAGTTTGATAGTTAAACGACCTACAAGGGCATGGTTGAAGACGAATCTAAATTCATCACATCACCATTTACAATTTCACTTTAAATGCACAAATGAAATTAGTATTTTGTATCTGGCATCGTTCACTACTTTGATATGATCCAATTCCGTCAAATTTTAGTTACCTGAGCATTTGACATTTTCACTATTCCATCATCCCCTTAAAAGTCATTAACTGACCTTGTGCCAAATCTCTATCAGGCCGATAACTGCTGAATGAAGTTAGTATTATCCAATATGACGACTTTTGTTTTTTCATCATATAAATGAAAATTCGACTTCCATTTCTTTCAGATGAACTTCACACGTCCAGTATTTACTGTGATCCGACAGTATTTATTATGGAATGCAATATTCATTGACCATGTAGCCTGGACGTCAGTAATTATTGATGTTCGGGGTTATGTATAAACACACTAACACAATACTCAGAAAATACTGGTGGCACAGACCACAGGAAACATTCATAGTGTTACATTCGCCTTACGATTTTCAGATCTGAATAATACGTTGTTTACAGATGATGTTGGAAACGAAAAATAAAATTTGCTACTTGTCAGGTCACTGACAATTGCAACAAACTTGGATACACCTTTTTTATTGTAACTCTAATACTTTATCGGTAAGTTTGTAGTATTGATGCAACCAAATTCATCTGAAAAATGAATTAATATTTTCAGTTCCCATTTCCAATTTCATTTATTTGTATGTGTTTTTCAGAAGGTTATGCTGATCGAATCAATGTTAAACAGAAAAATCGAATATTTATTGTTTATATTTCACATGAGGTTAAATATTGTAAAAAAATAGTTTGTCGTTTTAGTCACATTATCAAAAGCTAATTTATAAAAAAAACTGACATACAGCAGAAACGTTAAATGAACAGATGTATTGTATTTATGTATTATTACCAAAGATGCATGCTATAAACGATTAGAATGAAAAAAAATGTATTTTAATGGCTAGATGGATATACCATGCAAGTAATATTTCAGAAGTGACAAAAAAGAAAAATACTCGTTTTGACAGATCAAAGACCATCTAAATCTATGAGAATATAGAAAATATCATGAATAACATCCATAATGATGCACATAATGATCAAGCCAAATAAGTGATATCAAGCTGAACATAAATATCTCCTGATGCAGACAGTATATACAAGTTGCAAATTAAGAAAACCCCTAGTCAAACACGTCAGCTTTAACCAAATCATGTAATGCTTATGGTAAAATGTGAATGATATTACCATAATACGTAACCCGCAGCTGCATTGACACCGGTTCTAAAAAGGACACGCTGTCATCACTACGTGTCTTTAAATTATCGCATTAGATAACATTTCGATTTGGGCACCAATGGGTTAACTCTTTGCAGCATGTTGGTCTCTTGAGATGGCCATCAATTCAAGGTCTATTTATGTGCGGCTCACTGGTATTCCGACATTGCCACAAGAATTACTGGTTGCTTATGTGATATCCCTTATCCGAAATAAACTAACAACTATCAAATAGATCAGCCCATGAAATATGACAAATTACGAATTACTATACTGGCAAACTGATGGGATGCCTCATTGAAGTAACGTATTTTTCAAGAAATTTACCTTGTTATTTAGTAAAATTTTATATTGGTAAATTTTGTTAGTAAAATACCTGTACTTTTAGTATACATCTACTATAAAGTTGGATGTACTTGTTTTGTATATATTATATAAGTATCCTGGACACAAGATCGAAGTTATGTTACAAGAACACAACCGTTTAGCGGAAAAACAGGCCCAGACATTCCAGACACAGTTGAAAGTCCGGGCGACATGTTTCTTCAAATTTTCCCTGATGATGCTCATGGAGGAGATAGCATATTTATTCCTACAACTGGGGATGAGTCAACATTTGTTTGGGTGTAAATCTGTTGATGGGAATAAAGCCATTCCCTAGCTACAGGGATTATTGGTCGTCTAACGAACAACTTCGTGACAGTTACGTCATCTTGAATAAGATTCACCTGGCTATTGGCTAACCTTCATCTAGTTGATAATTCGACACAAATTTCAGTCAGTTGATCAGTCGATGATACGTTTCAAAGGAAGAAATTCCCTGAAACAGTATATGCCCAATAAACTTATAAAAAGAGGGTATAAGGTTTTTGTACGTGCAGACTCAAGTGGGTTTCTGTGTGAATTCAAATTTACTAGTTGGCAAAGGGCAAAGAATATTTTTCGATAACTATTTCAATTCTGTAGAGCTTCAAAGATATTTTCTTGCTAATGGAATCTATGCCAGTGGAGCTGTTCGCAAGGGATTTAAAAATTACCCAGATTTCAAAAGTGACAAAAAGATGAAACGTGGCGACATTGATTTTCGAATATCCACAGATGGACTCGTCGGTCTCAAATGGATGGATAAACGAAGTGTACTTTTCATTGCCAACCATCAGAACCCAAAGGTTATCGAGAGAGTTTCAAGGAAATTAAAATCTGGTACAGTAGAATAGATTTGCTTGACCTTGAATGGTCAAAGATTACAACTGTCATATGGGCTTTGTGGATAAATTTGACATGTTGAAAAGCTTATACGAAGTCGACCGTAAGTCTCATAAGTAGATGGCACAGACTATTTGTTTATTTTTTAGACGTCTCTGTAGTGAATGCTTATATATTATTCAACATGAGGAGCGAGTCGAACTGCAGGACAAAGGGGATATTCACACGCACTTTATGGAAATGTTCAACTTGCGATGTGGGACTTCCTGTCAAGCACGACAAAAACTGTTTTGCAGAATTTCATCAAATATAAACGCTTTTGATGAAGCATGTTGACTGCTTACTTATTTTAAACTATGAATACTATTGAAATATTTTTATCTACATGTATTATAAGTTCAGATTGAAAAAAAAATGTAAATTTATTTTTTCAATTGTTATGTTGATATATCTTAACAGCTCAGAAGACTATATCCTACAGGATAATCTAAGGATATATATTATGTGCGAAAGGTCATTTTATATTCACTAGTACCAAATGAACATTTCTATAATATAAAAAACGATACAAGTATAAAAAGTTAAATCTGGTCGCAGAGGGTTAAGCGCTATGGTTAAATCTGACATGTCTGATTTTAGCAAAAGCAAACACAGAAGAAGCACTACCTTAATAAGACTAAGCTGTTCCATGCTTTCACGTCTCACCCTATGCAACTGTTGAGAGCCAAGACTGTTCAAAGAATCCGACTTTGAGGATTTCGATGTGGGTGTATCTGGAGATTCTTCTGGACTTTCTGGCATATTCAGAATTTTCTTTAGGTCTGAAATGTTCATTTTGGAGGTCGCTTCCCCCATTGGGTCATTCAACTAGAAATAATGATCAATCAAAAAATAGCTTAACTAATCACTGCTTAAATAGATGTGTGTAGGGTGATTCACAAATCAAATATTTCTATAGCAGAAAGTGTAGTGTCTATATCTCGATACAGGGTGTTGTAAAATTCTAAGCCACTGATATGAACGATTGAGGATATCCTTCAAATAACGTTCTGGTGAGATGTTATTGCTCCCCTAACGTACTAAATACAATTTTCAATGTCAAACCGACATGAAAGTATTTTCAGATTACGACGGATTTAAACCTTACATGGAATCTACCGAAAATATTCAAACCTATTTCTCTTCAAAAGGCTTGGCAAGCATTTCTCAAAAGAGTCAATTAGGTATATCAAAAAGGCCAAATGTGTTTTCTCTTCTGTAGGGTTTAAAGTATCGCTGTTTCTACGCTAGCACTATACTTTGAGAATTATACCTTCAACACCCTGTATCTCTGTAACGGGACATTTTAGGACAAATATTTACAGGAATTCCCAATTTTACTACTGACCCGCGGATTTATTGATCCGAGAGGTAATTGATTGGCGGATCAAAATTGACCAATCAGAAGGCGTTTTTCAAGTAATGGATATATCTCTCAAACTAGCGGAAAATATACAATTTGTGTAAGAGGAGCCTCTAAACTCTAAACCCTATGTTAAATCGAGAAATTTTTGGTAGATCAACTGATTTAGCTATCAAAATCGAAGAAACTGGAAGGCGCCTTTTTTAAGTAAAGGATCTAACGAGTAGCGAAACTATCATTTATTTTTTGAATCTACTGCCATTTCAGTCTTACAACTATTCGTTCAAAAATTTGATGTGACAGCACTGGACATTTGATAAAGTGATGTTCTGATTTCAGTTGAAATAAAATATTTCTGTGCTTTTCAACAAAGAAACATGCATACTGAAATACACCTAGAAATGCCTTTATTCTGAATATGATTGCTGCCAATATGTCCACCTGCAAAGGACGGAGACACAGACGATGTGCTAGCCAACCATACCGCGAAACAGTGGTTCATATTTCTACAAATTACAACATTAGACGGCAATTTAATATAAACAATGAATTTTTCCTAAAATTATCTCTTCAAGTAAGTATCGACATTTCAATAAAATACTCACTAATTGCTGTCATTATCAATCTATTGTATCAAATTTGATCCATGGTTCTAGCAGTGATAAACGCATTCTTTCTAATTTATCAATTTGGATCCGCGGATCAAATAAAAATAGGTTTTCGTAGCTAAGAATGTGATTTATAAAGAATCTAGTGATTTAATATGGATATAGAGGCTCTTTTTTTTCACAAATTGTATAACTTTTCGCCAGGTTGAGGGATTTATCGACTATATTCATTAGTCTGTTACTTTAAAATGCATTAGGATTGGAATAAATGTTGATCCCCGGATGGTAAAATCGGACCTTGGTGCAATTTTTTAACATTGTCTCTATCCTAGAAATATTGTCACCGTTTACTGAATCATTCTGTACAAAGTACACACGCCCTACCTAGGTCTCCCCTGAACAAAAATTCGAGAGATTATTTCTTGAAGTAAACCAAGATTATTTTGTCGTTTGATAATCTTCAAAAAGCTACTTTGTCTGGAAGATGTAGATATATTCAAAGTTTGTTATTCTATCAAGACTTCTTAATCATGACTCCAGCATGCTTTGAAGAATTAGATCTGACATAGCAATTTCCTGAAATCTTTGATTACTACTAATAGTTTAATTATATTAGCAAATTTCCCCGACATAATTGTAAAGTCGGGTTTTATTGATGCAAATTGTTCAAGGGGGTATTTAATACATACGCTTAAAATGGGTACACTCTTCGTAGTATTGGTACTTGTTGCGAATGCGACGATAATTTCACGCAGCTACTTGAAATTCTTCAAATCGGAATCATACTTCTTAATAACCACAACAAAATTGAAGTCGATTGGTCAAGTAGTTTTTGAGAAAATCTAATTATTTATCCCAAAATACCTGTCCTCCGGCCATCACAACTAATTTACTGAGCAATATACAGGGTTCAGTTCAAAGGGCATTTTACAGCAAAATACACGAATTTACCTTGCCGACGTGAATCACAAACCATTCCGAAAGATAATTGTTATTTTTATGCGAAAAACGAAGGGTTTTTTCTTCTTCTAATCAAATTCAAATATTTCGTATCGGTAAAGATTTGCTACGATATTCGAAAAACATATGTTATTATACACATTTTAAAACAAAGCGGATGTGTCTTATCACCTTTTGTTACGAAGACAACAATTTTTTTTCAAGATTTCTTCATACTCTCATATTTGGAGCTGAAATTTTTACTCGGTCACAGATGAGCCATAAAGTTTATAAAAAAAATATTTCATACTGAAATGCGCTGAACTCTTTATAAAGTTAGCGCGCAAACTGAAGACACAATTATGTTTCAAACTGTCTTAGACTAGTTAGCATGTAGCATGTGCTAAATGGCCGCATTACTGATGACTGCATGACTTTGTCTAATAAGTAGGTCACGTAATCCATTTTCTTTACGAAGAAATATATTTTGCTAGACCTTTTTTCTAAAAGTATTAATATAGTATACGTCTGTTTTCGAAATCTAGTTCGATTAAAACGACTGCGAGTTCAAAATGTTGCAAAATAAACTCGAGAAAACGAAAAAACAGTAGACAAATATCAACCTGTTGTAGCGAACTGACCGTGTTAAAAATCACGCAAAATGCTTGTGTTATTAGTCCGTAATACATTATTTAAAGATTCAGCATTGTATCTTGTATAGTTTTCAAGAGTAATGTAATTGTTTATAACAGATTTGATATGCCTTCAACGTTCGCTTGCCATTTGTCAGTGTCAAGTATAGTGGTATAAGGATCCAGTAGACCAAGAGGCGTCGTACCGTAATGGAAATGATTGACGATTGCAGAACCGCAGGACGGAGGTTCGAATCCACGAAGCTCCTTTTTTCTCTATTATTTTTTTTTATTTTGAGAAATAAATGCCTTTTCACATTATTGTACTTTTATTATATATTATTATCTGAGAGAGAAAGAGACTTATCGGTAAAGTGTCTCTATTCACCTTTCGCAATTGAAAGCTTGTTTAATGCACAAATTAATTACATCAAGTTAGTGGTGAAACACATCGTACAGATAACAATACGAAAAAATGAGCAGCATTATGGTTGCTGTAGTTAATAAATACAAAATGTCAATGAATCTTTCATATAGTTTTATTCTTACGCACAACAATACAAATTGTATTCCCGATTTCGCTTTGTTGTCGAATAAAAAGTTTCGCCACAAAAATTGGTGAACCGATTCGATGCGTCCATGTTTTAAATACCCCTTGAACAACTTGCATCAATAAAATCAGGCTTTAGAATTATTTCAAAAACCAGTGGTATTTTCCTCTAATATGATTAGACTATAAAGTAAATTAAGTATTATAGTGCTAACTCAGTGTAGCCCGTATTTTTTTAGCTTGATTGATGATCTGGAGGAAACTGACCTTTTCTTAAAAGGTCTCAAATCCTTCAATTCTTCCCCATGTTGAGGAAACCCGAGATATTATTCTTTTTTTAAAGCTCTACCAAACTAAGTTATAGAAATAGCTGATATTATCATTACCTCTTTGCTGATTTCCAAATGCTTCTTTGCAAAATTCAAAGCTTTCTCATGATTTCCTAACGAAGCATGAGCATTTCCTAACGACCAACAAGCCCTGCCTTCGCCAACTCGATCGTTCAGGTTTTGGGCTATCAACAGGTGGCGCAAGTGGTATTCAATGGCTGTTTCATAATCTCGAAGTAACGTGTACGTGTTACCCAAACTATAACATGCTTGTGCTTCGATTGCTTGGTCGCCCAGTTCTTGAGCCAGTGCCAAGGTACGCCTATAAATAGTATATCCAGTTGGGTCAAACTATTCTGTATTTTATATCTTAGAATCACTATTATTTCATTGCAAAGCTGGTAAACAATAACAAAAATCTATAAATTGTGGCTGTAATGCAGAACTAGCCTTCGTCCATTTTTGACGATTTTGATTTTTTTACAACAGATTGTAACACGAGATAACCATAACGTTTAAACAAACATATTGTTTTCATGCAAAAGTGTTCTATAAATATGTATGATCCTGAGTAGAACTCAGCTGGAACTCTGTTACAACTTTACAAAGGTTAGAGATATTTCTGATGCAACTTTTCGACAAAAACAATACCGGAAGTAGGGTATAGGCTATCTCAGTTCTACAGCTTTTGTTTATGGGATACTTTTGAAACAATACATATATGTCTACGATTTTCCCTCAATAAGGGCTTAAGAAGTATTTTCAGATGTTTGAAAATGAGATACCGTTTTAAACGATGTGACTCTTATTGAAGTATCTTCCTGTGTATTAAAAAAAATCTCCTGTATAATTGCATTTTTTGACATACGTTATTTCTGCATTAAAGTGACGATATATACTGGGCGTCAAAATTACCATCGCCTTACTTTGATAATTCCTCTTGAATATACGGTCCAAGTAAAAATTGTTTAGGGAGTTCAATAAAGTGTCTACTATGTGTGAAACAAAGTTTTATACTTTGGAAGAAACCCATCTCGCCACTGGCCATCGTCCCTTTGCACAAGGTGGGGAATTTTATCATGTTCACTGTAAGGAGCAATGTGATGAGGCAAGACAAGAAATAATTTTTTTCAGTCATCTGATGGAAGCATCAGTAGCTCGGGGGTTACCGTGTCGAGCTAGCAACGCGAGGCGTGGGATCGAATATCCGTCTCAGATGCTTCATTCCGAGCCATGGTTATCGTGTTGTGTGTTGTCTAAATCACACACGCGGGTCAATATTAACGATAGGTACATCTCATCGCTGGAGCTGCTCTATTATATCAGTTACCAGTAGACGGCTCGTACTGTATTGGTACTGCAGGACCGGCCAAATGTTAGCTACTACCAAGTCGGTCAAACAGGCCTAAACAATTAAACTAAACTCCTCGCCCATGTGACAATGTTGTGATATAGAAACTTCTCCCCGGCACTGCCGATAATACTGACCGTCTGGCAACGTTGCTATAACTAACTGCGCCATTCCCCAGCCGCGGCAGCCACCCACTACGAAGCAGAGATACTCATCTGTCAGACCACAACGCAAGTAGATCCAGAGATTGCCGAGCGGTACTTTCCAACCTATAGACGAGCCAAGGATTAGCGGACACGCCGGCGGAAATAGGTGACACGGTTTTTTGTGAGGTACATGTCATATAAGCTCCAAAAAACTATCTTATTTTCGAATATTTTTTTAATTACAATATTTCGTCGCCAGAAGCGTATCACCCTCCCATGATTTCATGGAGTTTTTAAAACAATAGTGCCTCTTTTGCGGCATCGTTTATGAATTTGGGATAATCTAGTAAAGGTGAAATAGATAAAGTAAGTGAAGTAAACTGATATGTAGTGATTAATATTTACTTATAGTGATGTGCTGCATCTTCAAACTGGCCCATGAATATGTGAGAATTTCCTAAATTGCTATGTGCTCTTCTTTCGGCTGCTTTATCCCCAAACTGTCTTGCTATTGACAAACGTTCCTCATGGTAGTGAATTGCCTGCGCAAAATCACCTAATAAATAAAAGGTATTCCCTAGGTTACCACATGCTCTGCCTTGTGCTGCTACATCGCCTAATTCTTGCATCAATGCTAGGTTTTCTCTGAAAAAAATACATAAAAATATAAATAATACAATCTGTTAGACATAATTGTTCCATTCAAAGATAAACTCGCTACTTGGAAGGTTACTAATTTTGTTACACAGAATCAAAGTTGTATAAGCTGCAGTTTAGCGTCAATTTATGCCCACTCCTCTTCATCCTAAAAATCACGTTTCAATTCTATATATACAGGGTGCGGCAGAGAGGACGGACGTTTGGGATGGATAGTACTCTCCGCCTCCGTCTACGAGAGAGGTGGGGAGGATGCCGTTTGAGTCGTGAGATCCTAGCATTATTTTACCAGTTGTCGTTATGGAGCCTTGGACGGTGGAGCACCGCGAACAGTTCGAAGTCCTCAAAATGTTGAACGCGTTCGACAGGTCTTTCTTCGCAGTCCGACTCGTTCTGCCCGGTAAACATGCTGCTGCACTTCGTCTTAGTGATCGTTCGGTAAGGCGAATTTTGCATATGGATCTCCGCTTTCACCCCTACAAATTGGCCATTGTGCAACAGCTACAGCCCGGAGATGATGCACAACGAATGAACTTCGCAGCACGTGAGATGGAAGCACTGATCGATCAAAATGAGAACCTAATTTTGTTTATGAGTGACGATGCCCACTTTCACCTAAACAGCATGGTTAACCAGCAGAATTGTCGTTATTGGGCTAATGAAAATCCGCAACAGTTACACGAAAGACCGCTGCGATGTTGGAGAGAGTCTACGCGAACTTCCAAGAACGCCTCCAGCCCTGCATCAACGATTTCGGCCACCACATGCCTGATGTGATTTTCCACACTTGACTGTCTCAAATGCTATTTCCTCATGAACCTGATTCCATCAATAAATTAGTTTTCGAGTAAAAATTAACTATTTTATGATTTTTTTAAAACCGTCCATCCTCTCTGCCGCACCCTGTAGAATTAAATTAACTCATATATCCGCTACGTTCTTATTTAATTCATTTTTTCTTATAGCATTATATAGTGATCACAATAATGTAAATGTGTAAGAATCTGTTTTAAAAATGTGCACACAATATATAAACTATTTTAAAATGTTGACAAACACTTTAGATGTGGCTTAGTTTATAATAAATCATGTATTTGGAAATTTACATAAGCAACAAAAATACTCACTCATAATATGTAACTGCTTGTTGTAAACAAGCTTTAACATCCTCTGAAAACTCTCCAGGGTCCTTTTGACCCACTCGACCAATATGTTTACCTTTGGCGTGGTATACATTGCCCAAATTGTACAAAGCTCGCCCTTCACTCAACTTATCACCCAGTTCCCTGGACAGTTCCAGATGCCTTTTGCAACACACGACTGCTTCATCGAAACGCCCCATCACTTTCAAGGTGTTGCCAAGATTTCCTGATGACTTTGCCTCTCCTAATTTGTCGCCCATTGTTCTGAAATCAACATGAATTTAGTTGGCATGTGGTATGCATATTGATCAGGCACACAATTATAGAAAGAGACCTCACGACAGGAGGTACGTAATATTGTAATGGATTGTACTTATTTGTCGCATTCAGCTTTTTATTTCAGTACAAAAACAAAGAAGCATAACTGATGAAAATTTTATAACCTACGTACATATATTCACCTATCAAATGAATCAGTTAAACAGAAACCACTTGTTCATCCCAATGGAACTTCAATAGACTTTGTTTTAGATGCGTCATTTTTTTAAATGAGAAATTCTTGTTATATTGATCAAACAATCCATCAACATGGATAATGAATAAAACAATGGGTGATGCCTTTTCAAAATGAAGAAGCAGGAACAGGGGGAAAGTTTGAAAAACTAACAGAACTTTCTTCAGAATGATAGCGCTTGTTTTTAAATATAAGCTACTATAAAATGTTGATGCATTTGTAGAGTTAATGCAATGCAATCAAATTGCTTTCAATATTATGAACAATGGTTGTATTTATCAAATATAGCTCTACTCGAGCGATCACTAAAACTGACAATTAGATAGGTACAAGATGTTATGTTAAACGCAGCAAGCAATTAAGTAGTGCTTTGTTCTGGTCAACACGACCATTAACCAATAAATGTGTCTTACGCAAGGAATTGCAAATGCAAAATCTTATTACAGTGATTTAGAACAAATTGTGAAAATCTGGTTTGGGTTCTTAAATTTGCATTTTTGTTTGTACTTTGAATTCAACAGTCAAGATTGGAATGTAAGGTGTAATGAAGCAAGATATAGCCTCTCATACACAACTGCCAACCTCATCTTCTCCGTGGTGCATCCCGTTATTATTATATAACTGACGAGGAAATGGCGACCGATGACTACCGGTATAAGTAGTCTCTCCGGGATGATTGACCAAAATTGGGTAACCAATCCCGGAGGCGAGAATCATCCAAGAGAGGATTTTGACAGCGTCTGTTTCAAGGAGGGCGGCTGTCAAGGGGTAGACCGGGCTTCATGAGCTGCGGCGAAGGTAGTCGGTGTAAGGACGCTGACCCGAACAAGACAGCAGGACCCCAACTGGCCACTTTAGGTCTATTTAACATCATTAACACGCAAAAAGGTGGTAGACAAGGACCAGTCGACCGAGGAGCTACCACCCGATAGCTTCTCACAGGGTGTCGAATTAATGTCAGCATGTTTGCACAACTAAGCTACGCAGTCGGTTATCTTCCCCAACAAAGAAATTAATGATGATGGATTCCTCAAGTACTAAGAATTCCGGACGTGAACTCACTACACTCTCGGAGTGTCCGGGTGGAGGGTGGACTCGAGGGAACAACATCGCAGATAAAATTTATTTCACAAACATCTGCAGGATTAACAACATTGATACTGTTCATCACTACTTGCAATCCAATCGTCCCGCCATGCTTTTCTTGGCGGAGACAAAGATCCCAGAGTCTGCACCGATTAACCATCTCAACTTCCCAAATTACGAGGTCAATCTGAGAAAGAACGGGGGCGTTGTGGCTTTTGTCCACAGCAGTCTTTCCTGCTCCAGAGACGCTTTTTTGAAGTCAGATCGGAAAGACATTCTGTGGCTTCGCCTCAACTCCAAAACATCATCCAAAATTAATTTGCTGCCTTTATCGCTCTCCCTCGGCTCAAAACTGGTATGACTTACTTGAATACCTCGCCAAGATCGATTTTCTGAACATCAATCATCCCGCTTCAGAGATAGTTCTCCTCCCTGATTTCAATGCCCATAATGAGCTTTGGTTGGGCTCAAAGAAGACCGATGCAGCAGGTCGTGCAGTTGAAGCGTTCGTCCTTCCTCAGGGGCTTACCTAGATGGTGAGAAGCCCTACTTCTTTCACCCCGCGTCTCGTCACATGCCGGTAGCCTGCTGGATATCTTTCTGACCACGCATCCTATCCCCTACAGCACTGCTGTCCTGTCCCTACTGGGCAACTCAGGAGGAATACATCTCTCATACAGTGAAAGTGCCTAAACCAGGGTCCAACGGTTGGTTAAAAAAATCGCCAGCAGAAGATAAAGGCACACATAACCTTCTTACAAAACCCCACTGTAGAAAACAGACAAGCTGACATCGAGTCCAGAAATAAATATAACGAAGCGGTTCGCAATGTCAAAGACCAGCACGATATACAAGCTGGACACAGGATAATGTCGCAGCGCAATGACAGTCGGTATTTTTGGACGTTGGCCAAGCAGATTGAAAGGAACTTCTCGCACAGTAGCCTTCCAGCACATACATGTCAGGATGGAACGATTGTAACAGACTCAAATGTCAAAGCGGAAGTGCTTGTCAAGGTCTTTGCTGCCAACTTCACCATCGACGTCCCCCCAACCTCCCTGCACTATGCGGGAAGTAACATTCAGGCATAAGACCTGCCATTGTACTGAAGAGGTGTGGAGCGGAGATTGCTCCAGTTCTTTCGCGTCTCTTTCAGATATCTTATGAATCCAGAAAACTGGAAATCTGCTCATGTCCAGTCCATCCCCCCCTAAAAAAGGATCTAAGACCGACCCTTACAACTACAGGTCTATCATTTTCGTTGGAAAACATATTTTTGTAAGCACTATCACTTTTTTGTCCAATTTTGAATAGAAATTTGATAAACCCATTTTTCAGAATCATAAAATGGAGGTCCTGAAAGATGGTGATAAATCTGATGTACTCAACTATAGAGCTATAAACATTTTGAACAACTTTGCAAAGGCTTTTGAAATGGCCATTTACTCTTTTATCTTCGTGAACGTTAAAAGCCTAATTACTCCATCACAACATGGTTTCATCAAAGGTAGATCCACTACGTCAAATTTAATGACAATTACGCAGTATATAGCAGAATCGTTAGACAAGAAACAACAAGTCGATGTTATTTACATGGATTTCAGCAAGGCTTTCGATAAATTAAACCATCATCTTCTTGTGGATAGCCTTAATTATTTCGGCTTTAGTGACTCGTTAGTCGGTCTTTTAAGCTCATATCTTTCTAATAGGACGCAATATGTTTACTATAATGGTTATTCTTCAGCAAATTATACTGTTCCCTCTGGAGTACCGCAAGGTTCAAACCTAGGTCGCTTGCTGTTTTTATTCTTCATAAATAACCTAGTCGCTTCACTAAAGTGTGAATGTCTACTATTTGCTGATGATCTGAAAATCTACACCAAAATTACAAACTTGGAGAGTTGTATTTCCCTTCAGGACGATCTGCATACCATCAGACAGTGGTGCGACAATAATATTCTCTTCTTAAATATTTCCAAATGTAAAGTATGTTCATATTGTCGTAAAATGAACCCGATTGTGTTTGATTACTCCATAAATAATGCGGTTTTGGAGAGAACAACAGAGACTAAAGATCTTGGTGTAACATTTTCCTGTAGATTGGACTTTTCTGTCCATGTAGCACGCGTCACTTCCGAAGCGACACGGATTCTGGGTTTCATAATGCGCAACTGCCGATCTTTTTCCAACGAAGCGGCACTAAAAGCTTTTTTTATTTCACTGGTGCGACCAAAACTTGAGTATGCCTGTTTGATATGGAACCCTTTCTATGCGTATTATATAAGCATCTTAGAAAATGTGCAGAGGAAATTTCTTAAATTCTGTGTTTATAAAATCGATGGCACATATCCAGAAAGGGGGGTCTCTCAATTTGTTCTGCTGCGTCGTTTTGAACTAGAGTCTCTACAGTTAAGACGTTCCACTGCTGGCCTATCATTCCTTCATAAGCTTTTGCACGACAGAGTGGATGCACTAGAACTTCTCCAGAGGTTAAATTTCTATATTCCACGGTTAAATACGAGAAGAACTCTAACTTTCTACTGCAGTACCTCCCGTACAAATGTATTATTTTATTTTCCGCTACATTCTATATGCAACAATTATAATTCCATAGCAGACAGTTCTGACATTAATTTTGATTGTATCAGTAAGATCGTGTCGAATTTCAGGTACTATTATAATAGCTAGTTCTATTTTTTTAAATTAGTTTTAGGTATACATTACATGTATGAATTATAAGTAAAGTTACCATGATATTGTCCTTTAATTGGAATAGTTCTGTTGGGCAATAATGTATAAATAAATAAATAAATAAATAAATAAATATAGCTCTGCTTCTGTTATAAGTAAGGTGATGGAGAGGTGCACAAATCGAGAGCTTCGGGACTACCTCGAAAGTCACGGCTTGATTAGCCACAGGCAGTATGGTTTCCTGCACCAGCAATCCACAGGGGACTTCCTAGCTTACGTCACGCAACAGTGGAGTAAGCTTATCCAGTCTTTTGGTAAGGCTCATGTCGTTGCTCTTGATATCATGAAAGCGTTCGATCAGCTGTGGCACGCTGCCCTCTTATGCAAACTTCCATCCTATGGCCTCCCAGAAAAGCTGTGCACGTGGGTGGCTGACTTTCTATCTGGCCGCAAGATATCCGTCGTAATTGATGGGTTCTCCTCTTCATCCCACAACGTCAACGTGGGTGTTCCCCATGGATCGGTCTTGGCTCCGACACTGTTCCTCTTACAGATTAACGACCTCCTGTACGATCAACCCAATCCACAGCTTTACTGATGACGAAAAAGACTAGCGACGACTTCCTCTCTGACGAGACACCTGAAGGTTATCGCTTCTTGGGACGCATCAATCTTGTCCAGTTTAATGCTTCCAAAACACAGTACTGTACTTTGACGAAAAAAAAGCGTCCTAGCGCTCATCTCGTTTCGATGGATGTCTGAGTTCTGCAAAAGAGCCGTTCACTTCGGTTGGTCGAAGTCCAGATCACCGAGGACCTGACCTGGCACGTACACATCTCGTCAATAGCGGCAGCTGCTGGGAAAAAGTTAGGCTATTTATTTAGGACTTTTCCCCGCATGACCTTCTCACTCTATACAAGGCCCAGATAAGGCCTAGCCTCAAGTATTGCTCACACGTTTGGGGTGTTGGCGCCCCGACTACATTATTTATGCTTGATGCTGTCCAGAGGACGGCTGTCTGACCGATCGATGACTCTTCTCTAACAGATTGTCTCGAGACCCTTTCGCACCGGCGGGCCGTCGGCGATCTAGCTCTTTTCTACAGCTTCACCAACGTGCTTTGCTCCTCAGAGCTCTGATCCATGATGCCGACGCGCGATGTGCCTGCCAGACAGACCCTCCTGACTTCTGCCTCTCATCCTAACCGTGTCGAACTCCGTACAACCCAGAACTGGCCGATACGACCGCTCCTTTGTCCCGAGGCTGTCGAGATTGTGGAACAATCTACAAGAAGAAGCTTTTCCCGGTACTACTAATCTTAGGCAGTTCAAAATCGGATTAACAAAATTCTTTGGGATCCTCATAGCAGCTACAGTGGAGACTGGCTTTTAGGCTGCGGCTGCTTCGGTATAAAAAAAAAGATAACCAGAACGTTCTCAAGACTAATCAGTCCTGATTTGAATGAGCAGAAAAATACTCAGCATGATGCTCTCCACTATGACCAAATGCTACAAAAATTTCTGTGGTGGAGGGTATCAGACTCCTGGCAGATACACTCTTCAGCCTTTCTGCTTTAGACTGGGCTTAGAAGTTACAAAAAACAGAAAAATATGTGGCCTCATAGTCAATCAGCAGAATTCTATAATATGTGACCCTACTCTGAACTGAGCATGGCAAGGCAATTCAATTTTGTTTTACGAATTGTCACCATGGTTTGCAAAGAAAGAAATCTCAGAAGTTATACATACAAACTAGTATAATAATAAAAACACTGACTATGAACTATTATTGCAGCATTTTTTCAAAATAATAACTATTTAAGAGTTGTCAACCAAGAGATTCTGAAAATTACATAACTCCCAGTTCCATATCACTACATCCCAATGACGGTCGTTATTTTTCTTCTTTTCGATTTTATGTATCCTACAGCATCTAGTGCAGGCAACTATCGTTAATTGAGTCACTTTGCTCATCATTGAATAGTGACTGATTTTCTTCAACTGGATGAGGAATGTTTTGGAAAACTGTAATTGTATCCCAATCAAGGTTCAGGTGATGGCTGAAGTCTAATATGTGCATTCTCAGCTTCATTAATTCTTATGTTAGCAGCTCTTTCCTGACTTATTCAACATCATCATCATCATCAAAATAAATCTATAACACAATGGTCAAACCTTTATTTCGGTTGAAAATTATATTTTAGGAACAAGCTAAAAGAATTGATTTTTTCTCAAGCAAGACCAGACAGACACAAATTAATAGTAGATGTGAACATCAAGTAATTGGTTGATTAGTTGTATCTCTATTCATATTTTGATAATATGCAACATTAATGATCCATGTACAGGCAATGCATCCTATGGGCCATTACTTCATATTTGTTTACTCATTCTTGATATTGTGTTTTAGGAGTAAATAAATATTATTATTGTTATTAAACCACCAAGCTGACAGTAAAGTTGGTAGTTAGAGTGAGAGTGCAAAAGAAGGAAACTTGTTCAGCGTGATCGACTAGCTAAGGTCATAAATCACAGCCACAGAAACGCCTCACTCCTAGCAACATTGCCATATGTTTGGGCATTTTCATGGGTTGCATTCATTTTGGAAGTAGTTGTTGAAATAAATGCTTTTTTCCATGACCAAGATAAGAAACAATTAGATACACATATTCGAACTAAAAAAGTGTAACCAACTTCAGACTGCTCTCGCATCTGTCAGTAAATTTGCTGAATTACAGTTATGAGTATTGTCTACAAGTTTACAAAAGCATTTTGTCAAAGGTCCACACAAAGGAAGTTATAAGCAATGGAAATCAAGCGCAATAGTGTGATTGCTTTATATTTCTCTGGTTTTTGATTATCACACCATAAAACGATACAATGATACTGGTAGCATTGCTAAACGTCATGGAAGTGGTCATCAAAAGAGTGCAAAGTCACCTGAGATGGATCAAAAAGTCAAGAAGCAGCTTGAGCGAAATCCACGACGAATTGCCAATCCAATGGAATATCCGATCGCAGCGTGCCACGCATATTGAAAAATGAGCTCAAGCTCAAGCCTTACAAGTTAAAAAAGGCTCACGATCTTACACTGAAGCAGCAAAAAGTGAGACTTGAGAGAGCTAAGGAGCTGCTTCGCTTGGCTGAAAGTGGTGAATTTTCGAACATTCGAGTTTTCTGACGATACATTTTTTCTAATTTATGGCATTTTGAAAAGGTTACACATCAAGTACCAGACCCTGTAGGCTACACCTAAGACTAGCTAATTGCTTATTGCTTCACCTAGTTCTAACTGGCTAAACCTAGGTGCAACTGCATTTTGAGGTTTAGCCCTAACATATACAATGTTCTCACAAAGAAAGTTGACCCTTATACAATTACTCAATTTTGCTCCCTTAAAGCACAATTACAAAATTTAGGTAGAGTTGTAGATGTGGGATGATAAAGGAAGATTATTAATGGCAAACCAAGTAAGTGCAAAAATGTGTATTAATGCTCATGCAAACTCTGGCACATATTTGTGCATGCCAATTTGTGCAAGCAGCAAGTGGATACACAAAAACCCAACTTTTTGGCTCGTGCAATTTTTATGCTAACACAGCAATTTTTTTGTGTGAATAGGCTTGTGAAAGCCAATTTGTGAAGTTTGCATGACTGTTAAAACACCTTGAATTAATATAACAGATCTGCCTTTTACAAATAGCATTTAATACATTACCTTGCTAGTGTCAAATCATGTTTGTGATACTGCATAGCTTTTCCATAGTCACCTAGGTAGAAATAAGCATTCCCTAGCTGACTGTATATAGCACTCAAAGTCCTGAGATCATCAGTGCCTGCCTGAATAGCTGCTTGGAAAAATGCAACTCCTGCCTTACAATCACCTGCTTTACAGAGTCGTTCCCCTTCTAAGGCTAATTCTAGGCACATATTTGCAGACCCATCATATTCCTTAAAAGAGGCAATGATTCAACTGATTAGATTTACGTGATGTTATCTTTGAGCTTACCTGTACGTCGCCAGCTAGATTTTCCATGCTGTTACTGGACATTTTCCGTTGTTAATTCGAGTAAAAAATGTATGAATCACAATATTTAAACTATTCCTAGATTCATTAAACACTGATCAATAACATTGTTTAAGCAGTCCAAAAAATAGATTCCACAGTATAAACTTCAAATAACAATGTAATTCTACAAACGTATTGACTTTTAAGAGGTATATGGACAATAGAATATATTAGAAATTTTAAAAAATTGCAGTGGAAAATTGAGAAAAGGCAAACAATTCAATAATCACACAATACACAACCTGTCAGAAATGTACAACATATAACACAACCGCCTCAGTCGACGTTGCCAAATTTCCATAATATATTTCTCGGACCTAACGTAACGTTCTACTTACGCCGGCTCCACACGTTGGCCCCAACGTTGGTACCAACGTTGGTCGGTTAAGTTGGTTATTATACTAGTTCCTTTCTGTCAGAGCCAATGTGAAGATGTCCGACACCGAAACCGAAATTGCTCTAATACGCCGGCTTCACACGTTGGCCCCAACGTTGCCCCAACGCCACTCGCCCAACGTGTGTGTGTAAAATAGCGTTGGAACCCAACGTTGGAGCGACCGTTGGTAGTTGGCTGTCGATTGTCGGTTTTATCAAAGGAATCTGCGCCAACGTTGGCAATCCGTCCACATATTGGCTCACTGGCTCAGTCTTGTTGTTACACGCGTCGAGTGCGTATGTGGAGATCAGAGATGTGGAGATATGTCATCAACAACATCGCTACCCGCGTGGACAAACGAAAAAGTTGTAGAATTTTTACAGTTATACCAGGCGCATCCAATAATATGGAACGCCCCTCGCAAGGACCATAAAAATAGAAATTTACAAGCCGATGCATGGCGCAATATTCAACAGAATATGAAAATGATTTATTCTATTGAGGAATTAAAAAAGAAACCGAAATTGCTCTAAGCGCTTTTACAGTACTGATGAGTGCGTATAATTTATATTTGTTATTGAAAAAAAAAGAAAAAGCCACGTCAAAGGAGATGGTGGATGACAAGGCATCATAAAACTCGGTACCAGTAAGTACAGACCATACACTCCATTCTAGCAGCTTTTTACAAGGCAATTTAATATTAAATTATCTAATAATGTGTATACAGTGTGTCCAAGATAAGGATGTCTATCACGAGGATCTTGGAAAACAAAAGTGATGCGAAGATGGTTAAATTTCAAGCCTAACAATATGCCGTTTAGAAAGCTTTAAAATTCCGAGTTGTTCCGGAGGTATGCCTAAAAAATGCTATTTAATACAGGGCATACTTTTTTACGCGCCATATAAAAAATAAAGTTGATGATGGTTTCTCCGAAACGAAACGTCGTGCGAAAAATCTCTCAACGCTGATTTGTAGAACTTAAAAAGTAGCCATAAGAAAGTGTCTTTTGTTTTTCCATATTTCTTCAAATAACGCCAGAAAAAAATAAAAACGAAATCGGCAAAATTCGGTTTTTTAGGCATACCTCCGGAACAACTCGGAATTTTAAAACTTTCTAAACGGCATATTGTTAGGCTTGAAATTTAACCATCTTCGTATCACTTTTGTTTTCCAAGATCCTCATGATAGACATTCTTATCTTGGACACACTGTATACACATTATTAGATAATTTAATATTAAATTGCCTTGTAAAAAGCTGCTAGAATGGAGTGTATGGTCTGTACTTACTGGTACCGAGTTTTATGATGCGTTGTCATCCACCATCTCCTTTGAAGTGGCTTTTTCTTTTTTTTCAATAACAAATATAAATTATACGCACTCATCAGTACTGTAAAAGCGCTTAGAGCAAATTCGGTTTCTTTTTTAATTCCTCAATAGAATAAATCATTTTCATATTCTGTTGAATATTGCGCCATGCATCGGCTACTAAATTTCTATTTTTATGGTCCTTGCGAGAGGCGTTCCATATTATTGGATGCGCCTGGTATAACTCTAACAATTCTACTTTAACGTTTTCGTTTGTCCACGCGGGTAGCGATGTTGTTGATGACATATCTCCACATACGCACTTGACGCGTGTTACAACAAGACTGAGCCAGTGAGCCAATATGTGGACGGATTGCAAACATTGGCGCAGATTCCTTTGATAAAACCGACAATCGACAGCCAACTACCAACGGTCGCTCCAACGTTGGGGCCAACGCTATTTTCTAGATACACACGTTGGGCGAGTGGCGTTGGGGCCAACGTTGGGGCCAACGTGTGGAGCCGGCGTTAGATTACAAATTTTAAAACTCAACTGTTAACCAGTACGTCGTACACAAATACATAGTAGCAAGTAAATATTAATTACATTCCTAGCTGATCAGTTTGTCTGTGTTGCGAAAGTGTTTGTCCATAAATTAGTGCGTTCACGAAAACCTTTACATAAATATTTGATAGAAAATTGGTACCAAGAGATAATATACGGAGAGTGCAATCATAATTTTGTGATGCCAATTTCAGAAAAGTTTTACTCTTGCGGTTTGTTCGTACAGTAGTCGGTGACTTGTCCGTGACTGTGTCTGGTATCCGGACTTGCAAATTCTGTCTATATAGCATTGCAGAATGAACGGAATTTGTGTGGCGAGATCTTGGACACGATCACTGACAGGTGGGCGACAGCTATACGAAGGGGGTTATAATGTTGTCAAGTTTTTTCCAACTCCACATATCCATATATAATGTAGACTAAAAGTATCGTACCATTTAATTAAGATGCTGCCCAAAAAATATTCATATAATATTTCAAAATATCTGATCAATACAAACAAGTTTGTCTATCTTATTAGGTATATAATCTGAATAAGAAAAATACATTTTTACAATGAGGGATTAAACTCTTTTTAAAAACGTTGCATTTGAGCCAATATTATACAGGGTACAAACAATTTAGCGATACTACGGTAAGTTAGTCCCTACCTGACGATTTAAGTAGGTAATAGGCTCATCCTGTGGACACAATGTAAAACCTTACTATGTATTTTCACGGTTTTTGACAGGTCACAGTAAAAGTATAGGAATTACTTCCATACATCCATATTCCTCATACATCGCACTTACATATATGCAATCGGCCTCTAAGCACGTTTTTTAATCTTGTCTCACCGCCTTGAATATATTTCCGACAACGTGTATGGGTCTTCCATACATTTATGCTTGTTAATGTCAGTATGTGGTACCCTCTGGTGGTACCACATTGTGGTATGACAACTTGCTTGTCATGGGCGTGTGATTTGTGTCGTGTCTTTTGCTTACAGCTATAATGTGACAGTCTGTCTGTATTGAATTCATACAAGTATTCTCAGAAAAAGAGTGAAATTACAGTGTTGTCCAAGTATTATTTGAGAAAAACCGATTTTCAGTGGGTTGCAAAAGTCAAAATGGTCCAAAGAATCATCCTTTGAATTGTTGCCCAATATGTATTGGAAACACATCCTCTGATGGAGACTGGAGTACCCCTTTTTATCGTATAAGCAGTGATGGGCATTTACGCGTATACATTAATTGTCTAGTCTCGATGTATACAATGCATATACAATCTATACATTGCGTATACAATGAATAGAATGTATACAATGATGAAGACAATGTATAAAATAGCATAAGTGAGGTTAAGTTTATTCGCAAACGACGGAAAGTTTGTGAACCGCAAACTTTAAAAAAATATGGTTGGACGCCCCAAGAACAAAGAAATCGATGAACTAGGGTTCATTTTGTTTGAACTTGGAAAGACATATTCCGTAGAGTGTATTATTGTCTGCAAAAAATTTTTAATACCGCTATATCTCGATTGAAATCATACAAGTATTTTGTTATATTTTAATTAAGAAATGTTCCTAATTTATTTAAAACTGTATCATTGTATACGTTTATAAATAAATATTATATATCTATAACCTTTGTCATTATTTATAAACTGCTTTGACAGTCAAACCAATAATGCAATGTTGCAGAATTTGTAGCGATCTTGAACTTTCAGTTCCACCTAAATCATTAGGATCGATCCGGAATTGATCCTAAACAGATTCGACAAAAAAGTGTAGTTGGGCGTAGAAAACAAGGCAATGCAGCAAGTTACAGTCGTATTCTATGGCCTTCATCACTGTTGTGCCAGGCAACGTGGTGTGTGGTGCACTCTTTCTACACAAGTGGTGTCCGCTTCTCCCCCCTTCTCTCTTCCTCGTACACGTGGAAATGTAAAAGGGAAAGAGACTTTCACCAGCACTGTACGCCAGTAGTTGAACTATGATTTGCTATTGTATACATTGTATACTACGTATATCGAGACGTATATATTCAATGTATACGCCATTGTATACGCGTATACAATGATGTATACAATGCGACCATCACTGCATATAAGGTCAGACTTTGTTACATGTTTTTTTGCATCCATATACAAAACAGATCAGAATTTTTATTGAGTCCTGATGATGGCGCATTTTGTTCGTGTATTGAGTTCACTCATTCTATATAAAACTGAAAACTCGATATTTAACGAACCACACCTCCGATTATAAAATACCCCTCTGTTAATGTGTTAAGCCAGCATGATAAACAACAAGCGATCGACGAGCGGCCGATCATGTGACATGTGAATGTCTGTAGAATTTTGATATCTATTACATTTATAAATCGATAAAACTGGCAACATTGAACATCACATGTTCATAGACAGCACAATGCACAAAACAACACGTAGATCGTAGACAGTTCAGTTCAGTGTTCAGCGTGTATAATCAAATCCAAGCGAATAACCAAAATTTCTGTGTTATGTGCCGCGGTTATAATATGGTTCAAGATGACACACGGGTTGATGACGTCAGTTACACGAATCGCTTGAACGCGTTGGTTTTAACCGCGGTTTTGTTGCAAGTTGTTTATTTTATAAAAGCGCGCATACAATCTCTGATTATTTTTATTATCACTTAATAATCGGTGCTTTTTCGTCTACAACTGTATATGGAAAGTTTAAATAAGAAACCTTTCATAATATTCATGGGAGAAATGTTTTTTTCAGATTTTTTTTTAATGATGGAACCATGGCTTTGTAGCTATGATAACTTTCAATTCTCTAAATTTTTCCGCATGTCAAAGAAAACATTTATTGATTCAGCAGAAATGATGAAAAAAAGAAATTAGCAAAACCGTATACAGGTGGATATCATCTTATACGATTGGTGATGGATATAGGATCATGTGGTGGTGGGGTAAGAAATATATAATGATGTAAATATACATAAGGGTTTCAAAATTTTCGCTTCGATTTCCAGCTTCGGATGCCGTCTGATGTTTGGTGAAATACAGTCGAATATAATCTCAAAATGGCGTTTAAATTAGCCTAAATTAAAAATAATCGTATATCTCTTAAAATTTCTTTTAGAATATTGATTAGTATATTTTTTGATTTCTAGGTAAATATGTAACCAAATTAAAACGTTCAAAACGTAAAAAAATGTGCATGGTTGAACATTGTCAGAAAGTAGATTCTTGAATAGGTTTTGCCAAAATGGGTTCAAAAATGTCAATAATTAATTAAAAAATACAGTAGCTTTATAATTACTTATAACTTACCGAATTTGATGAACGACATCTTTTATTGGAAAGATGAGCTTGATGAGCTTTCATCATCGCTACTGCCTGAAGCACCAACGTCAATAATGAATGGCTCGACTTGTTCCTCTAAAATATTGTCCAGTTCCCACATTCTCTTTTCAACTTTCTCTTTCACGTGCTTAATACAGTTTTCCCATTTTGGCGCTATTAATTCTAGTGCTTCTTTGAAAAGTCCTTTGAGGTCACAAAATTTAAAAGTTGTATTGTGCTTAGCTATATAATTTTTAACCTCTGCCCATATGAGCTCAATGGGATGAGCTCGCAATGGTATGGAGGTAAACGGAGCACAGTTTTATTTTGACTTGCTGCCATTTCGTCA